TCACCGACCAGTCTTTGGACTGGATCCCCTGGTGTTGGGTCGGCCTTTCGAGTCTGGGGCTGCCTTGCACTTGTTCGCGACACCTCCGCGGACAAGCTCTCGGCACGCGCCGTCCCATGTGTCTTCCTTGGTTTCCCAGTGGACTCTGCTGACTGGTCCTTTTACCACCCTCCCCTCCACCAGTTCCTAGACTCCCGTGACGTCCGGTTTGACGAGTCTGTGTCCTACTACACCCGGTACCCCTGTCGAGGTCTCCCGGTACCCCCTCCCCCTCTCTTCCTCGCACCCTCTCCTCCTCCTGCTCCCGCTCCTCCGGTACCCCCGCCCCCCCCAGGTCCTGCCCCGTCTGGTGTGTCCCACGCTACCCCTCTACCCTCGGTCGCGCGTCAGGTAGCGTCTCCCTCCCCGCAGTCCTCCTCACAGTCCCCTCAGCAGCCTTCGGCACTTCCGCGACAGGTTACTTTGGACTCGGTTGGTGTTGGAGCTGGAGGTGCAGCCGCTGGCGGTGCTCGGTCTGGGGGTGCTCGGTCGCGGGGTACTGGAGCTGGAGGTGCTGGCGCACGTGACGCTAGCTCTGGGGGTGCTGGAGCTGGAGGTGCTGGCGCAGGTGGCGCTAGCTCTGGGGGTGCTGGAGCAGGAGGTGCCGGCACTGGAGGTGCTGGTTCTGGGGGTGCTGGAGTTGGAGGTCCTGGCACTGGCGGTGCTGGTTCTGGGGGTGCTGAGTCTGAGGGGACTGACGCTGGAGACCCTGGTTCTGCGGAGTCCACTCCGCCTCCCCACCGCCACGACACGCGTCTCCAGGCTGCCCGTCGGCGTGAGCGTGAGGATCAGGAGCGGTTGGAGAGGGAGCGGCAGGAGCTGCGGGTGCTGGACCTTCTGGAGCAGCAGCGGCAGCAGCAGCAGCAGCAGCAGCAGCAGCAGCAGCAGCCGCAGCCACCGCCGCAGCCGCAGCAGCAGCAGCCGCAGCCGCAGCAGCAGCGGCCGCAGCCGCCACCGCAGCTTCCTCTGGAGCGGCGGTTGTTCCCACCTGTGAGTGGCCTGCGGGCCCTTGGCCTTTCCTCCTCTCCTCCTGTCCGCTCCCAGTCTCCTCCTGTGTTTGTTCCTCCGTTGCCTCCTCCTGACGACCGTCCGGCGGTCTGGTCTTCTCCTCCTCCCTCTGTCCGTCGCGACCTGATCACTCGTTGTCCTCCGCGTGCTCGTCACTCGTCCCCTGTTACTGACCTCCACACTGCCCTCCTTTGTTCGTCTCGTCGTCGTTCTCCTTCTCCTGTGTCCGTTCTCCCGTCTCCTCCTCCGTCCTCCCTACCAGCCCTCCCCACTCCTATCTCTGACTACTACCGCGTTGTTCGTCCTGTTGCCGCACGTGTCCTCGCCACTCTTGTCACCGACTCTCGTTTCCCTCCGTCGTCTGCCTCGGCTCTTACTGCCGCTGTCGCTGAGTTTGCTGCCGCCAGCCACCTTGACTACGCCACCCGTGTGGTGCCAGCTCCTCCCTACCGTCCTCTGTCCGTCGGGGGTGGGTTTGCCCTTGGCTGTGACGTCCTAGAGGACAGAGAGTCTGAGCTGGAGTACTGGGCAGCCGCTTCTCCCTCTGTGTGTGCCATGCTGCTCTCCCCTGAGGGAGACCCCGACGCCCTTGACATACCGACTCCTCGCACTTACCGCGAGGCAGTGTCAGGGGCATGGGCCTCTCAGTGGAAAGCGGCTATGGACTCAGAGTTGGCGTCTTGGAGATCCACAGGCACCTACGTCGACGCAGTTCCCCCTCCCAGGGCGAACGTAGTCGATGGCATGTGGCTCTTCAAGGTGAAGCGGCCGCCTGGAGCACCGCCGGTGTTCAAGGCGCGCTACGTGGCTAGGGGCTTCAGTCAGCGTGAGGGAGTTGACTTCTTCCAGACCTTCGCCCCGACCCCGAAGATGACTACTCTTCGGGTGTTACTCCACATAGCAGCGCAGCGAGACTACGAGCTGCACTCCCTCGACTTCTCCACTGCGTTCCTCCAGGGCCGACTACACGAGGAGATCTGGCTGCGCCGTCCTCCTGGCTTCACTGACACCTTCCCACCTGGGACCCAGTGGAGCCTGAGGCGACCAGTCTACGGTCTCCGCCAGTCGCCCCGTGAGTGGCACGACACTCTTCGCTCCACGCTTCGTGACCTTGGGTTCAGCCCGTCCTCCGCCGACCCGTCGCTGTTTGTTCGAGCGGGTTCTACTCCTTTCTTTATCCTTGTCTATGTCGACGACTTGGTGTTTGCTACAGCAGACAGGGCAGCCCTGGCTCAGGTGAAGTCCGAACTGCAGAAGAGACACAAGTGCACTGACCTGGGTGAGCTGCAGCGCTACCTTGGCCTGCAGATCACCCGGGACAGAGCCGCTCGCACCATCACACTGACGCAGTCACACATGGTGCAGCAGATCCTTCGGCGGTTCGACTTCCAGTTCTCCACCACACAGCCCACTCCTCTTGCTGTTGACCACAGACTCACGGGCCCCTTTCCTGACGAGCCCTTTGAGTCCAGTGGACCCTACGCAGAGCTGGTGGGCTGCCTCATGTACCTGATGACTTGTACTCGACCGGACCTCGCCTTTCCACTCAGCATCCTTTCTCGCTTTGTTGCGACTGGGAGACACCGCCCTGTCCACTGGACAGCTGCTGTGAGGGTGGCGAAGTACCTGGCGACTACATCAGGCATGGGGCTTGTGCTTGGAGGGACTCAGCCAGTGGCGTTGACTGGTCACTGCGACTCTTCCTACGCTGACGACGTGGAGACTCAGCGTTCGACTCAGGGTTACTGCTTCAGTCTGGGAGCTGGTGCTGTGTCGTGGAGGTCTACACGGTCGTCGTCTGTGGCTACTTCCAGTGCAGAGGCAGAGATCTACGCTGGTGCCATGGCGGCACAGGAGCTTCGCTGGTTGACCTTCTTGCTCGCCGACCTTGGTGAGCGGCCTCGCTCTGCACCGACCTTGTACGCTGACAACAAGGCCATGATCCTCCTGTGTCGAGAGCCTCGACTGGAGAGCAGAGTGAAGCATATTGACGTGAGGTACTTCCTCCTGCGAGAGTTGCAGCGACGCGGTCAGGCACGTTTGGACTTTGTGGCCTCACAGGCCAACACTGCCGACGTCTTCACCAAGGCCTTGGCGCCTGGTGACCACCACAGGTTCTGTGTGCAGTTGGGGCTTGTTGAGGTAGGCCCTCGGTTGCTGTAGACTTGCTGTTTGCTCTACTTGTTGTGCTTCTATATATACTAGTAAACTCTTGAACTGGCCTTGTGGCCACTTGCTTGTGCTCGGAGTGTGTGGTGACTCTGAGCGCCACCCTGAGCTTTGTTTTTTATGCTTGTTCTTGACTGGTCTTGTGACCCCTTGTTTCCGTTGGTTGTTTTGATGCCCCTCACTTAGCCTATGGGGGTGTGTCAAATGTTTATATATTCTATATATTGTTAGATAGGCTACTGTGAGTTGCCCTCTAAAGGGTACAACACTTTAGGTCGACATTTGTATCTCCTTGTCCCTCCTTACTCAAACATCACTCTCGACACTTGTCTCCTAGCCTATCTTAAGACTACAGCACATCTTGCTTAGACGATATCCACATCTTCCTCCTCTTCCTTACCCTCGCCCACTTCGCCACCTACATCAATATCCATCCTAGCTAACCCTCCATTAGCCATTGCTTGTACTTTTCCGGCATCACCTAGACCCCCACTTTCCCTGTGCCCTTGATTCCCTGCCAGTGCCAGACCATCCTGCGGCCCTCGCGCCACCACCACACCATTATTCTGCTGAGAGTTGTCAGCTCCTGCACCGCCATTTCCCACTGTTGCAGCAGCTGCCGGTGGTGGCATCTCTGCTCCCGCTGCTTCTGCTAAAGCTGCTGTTGCTGTTGCTGTTGCTGCAGGTGCTGCCGGTGTTGATGCCACTCGTGCTGGTGTAGCAGTAGCCACTGCTTCTCTCGAAGCCCCTGCAGCCACCCCAGCACCACCTCCCCCTGCTACATCTCCCCTTGTTGCCACTACTCCCCCTACTCCTCCTCCTGCTGTCGGCGGTGTTACAGCCGTAGATGTAACCGCGCCTGTCACAGTTCCGTCGTGAGATGTAACCACAGTCAGTGCACCATCACTCACTGCCCCACCAACAGCACCACCCGCTGCAGCAGTATTAGCACCAGCAGCTGTGGCACTGGCAGCGGCAGCGGTGGCACTGGCAGCGGCAGCGGTGGCTGCTGCAGCAGCAGAAGTTCTCCGGCGGTGGGGGTCGGGAACGGTGATGGTGTGGGTGCCGGTTTCCGGAGAGAAGGTGAGATGTGGTGGAGGCGGCGGGGGCTGGCGGGAGGACCGTGTGCCTGCTTGCCTTCTGTTCTCGGGGGGGGGAAAGGGGTGAGAGGAAAGGAAAGGTTTGAGAGGAAGTGGGGTGGGTGAGGGGTGGTGGTAGGGGAAGGATGATTTGCGGTGGAGGGGGCGGGGGCAGGCGGGAACACCGTGTACCTGCTTGTCTTTTGGGCTTGGACAGGGGGGGGGGGAGAGAGGGGGGGGGGGGAGAGTAAGCGGGCTGAGGGGGGATGAGATGGGGAGAGGGGCTGGGGATTGAGGGGCAAAGGTGGGAATCGAGGACGAGACGAGGGGGGAGTGGGTGGGGAAGGATGAGAGATGGGGCGTTGAGAGGGAGGGGTGAGACACATCACTCACTGGGCTTGCCGAGGCAGAGCAGGTTAAGCAAAGGAAGGGTCGTCAGCCCGTGCAGGGGGCAAGCAGCCACAGTGGCGCGGCGGCAGTAGCCGAGGGGGAAAACGAGAGGAGCAGCACTAATTCCGCTATCCCAATCTCAAACTTCTAGCCCAGGAATGGCGTGTTACTTACTGTGCCTGGCGTGCCAGGGCAGCTCGAGCAAATGAGGGGTCGTAGGAGAAGAGCAGCCCGTGCAGGGGACGACCGGCAACAGTGGCCCGCACGGGAAGTAGCCGAGGTAGAAGACGCGAGAAGCACTTATCATGGTATCACTCACTGGGCCTGGCGTGCGAGGGCAGCTTGAGCGAATGAAGGGTCGTAGGAGAAGAGCAGCCCGTGCAGTGGTCTACCGGCGACGGTGGCGCGCAGGCAGTAGCCGAGGTGAAAAACGTCGACTATCTGCGCCTCAAACGGCACCTCCCTGCCTGCCGGCGCTATCAGGTCCGCTGGGTGCAGGCCGGGCGGCAAGGCTGGTGAGACTTGTGGGACTGGAAGGGAGGAACATGGAGACAGGATGTGGGGGAAAGAGAGGACATGTGGTGGGGGAAAATGCGGGGCGTGATTGCAGGAAGTTGGGAGCATAAGCACATGTTCAGAAACCCAGGAGGTAGGCATGAAAGAGTCATCCCAGGCCATGACATCCACCTCCCTTCATTGGACCATGAATGCACTGAGAGCTGCATGACATCCCATCCCATCCCACCCCACCCCATCCCATCCCATCCCATCCCATCCCATCCCATCCCATCCCATCCCATCCCATCCCATCCCATCCCATCCCATCCCATCCCATCCCATCCCATCCCATCCCATCCCATACCATACCATACCATACCATACCATACCATACCATACCATACCATACCATACCATACCATACCATACCATACCATACCATACCATACCATCCCATCCCATCCCATCCCATCCCATCCCATCCCATCGCATACCTCGCATGCGTCTGGCAGGGGGCCTATACCCATCGTCATCATCCATGCCGCCCACCTCATACACACCCTCCGCGCCCCGCCCCCACACGCCCTCTCCACTCTCCCCCCTCTTGCCGCGCATGCCCATGGGCGTCCCTCCGGCCCCCATGCCCACGCCAGCGTCCATGCCCATGCGACCATCCATGCCCATGCGGGCATCCATGGGCATGGGCACGGAGTCGAAGGACCGTCGCCGCACGCGCGGCCGGAAGAACTCCACTGCATGCGACCCGAAATCTGGGTGGTGCGGGGGGGAAAGGTGCGGGAGGAAGAGTAGCGGGCGCAAAGGGAGAGAGGAGGGCGGGCAGGCTACCATGTGAGGGTTGAGAGAAGGTGTTGACGCCGTCCTTATACCTGTGTGCAAGCCATACCTGTGTGCAAACCATACCTGTGTGCAAGCCATACCTGTGTGCAAGCCATACCTGTGTGCAAGGCAAGCCATACCTGTGTGCAAGGCAAGCCATACCTGTGTGCAAGGCAAGCCATACCTGTGTGCAAGGCAAGCCATACCTGTGCGCGAGAAATAAACATCTTCCAGTGCCTCCAAGCCGTAGTTGCAGCCCCCGAACAGCACCAGTTTGCCCGACATCGGGTCCAGTAGGTCAGCTCTAAGGACTGAACTGATTCCCCTGCAGCATCATGCTACCTGTGTGGAGGAAGTAAGCATCTTCCAGAATCCAGAGCCTCCAGGTTGTCGATACAGCCCCCGAAGAAGAGCATCATCTTGCCCGAACCGTGTCCAGCAGGTCAGCCCTACACACATGCGTCCTTGTGTGCATACTGTATCGCACCTGTGTGCAGTGCATGCCATACCTGTACGCAAGAAGCAGGCATCTTCTAGTGCCTCCAGGTCGCCATCACAGCCCCCGAGGAGCATCATCTTGCCCGAACCGCTTCCAGCAGGTAGGCACTAAACGCATGCTTCCTTGTGTGTATGCTGCTGCATCTCACCTGTGTGCAGAAAGTAAGCATCTTCCAGTGCCTCCAAGTCGTCGTTGCAACCCCCAAAGAGCATCATTTTTCCCGATACTGTGTCCAGCAGGTCAGCTGACAGGGAGAAGCGCCGCGAGGGCACGTCCCCTGTGGGTGTGTACTGCTGCCAGTGCTCCGATGCTGGATGGGGCAAGGTGGGTGGGACACGTAGCAGACACACGCACGAACCAGTAATGCGACGGGAGAGCGGGTTGGTGACGACTTAAAGCGGCCATGCAAGATACATAAGAGACGGAAGTGGTAGGTGAAGGGGAGTTGCTGTGATTCAGAAACATCTGAACGAGATAAACTTGTACGACGGAGTGTAGTGCATTGCTGTGAAGTGTGAAGCAGAGCAAGCATACAAGCAAGCGAGCGAAAAAAAAGCAAGCAAGAAAGCAAGCGAGCGGGCAGGCATACAGAGGTCGAGCACGTGCAGGTCGTTGAAGAGGCGGCGCTCATCCGTGAAGCCCCCAAACACCACCATGTGACGTTTAAGTCAACTTAAAAGGCAAGCGGGCATACAGAAGTGCAGCAAGTAAGCGAGCAAGCAAGCATACAGAGGTGCAGCGAGCGAGCAGGCAGGCATACGTACAGAGCTCAAGGACGTGGAGGTCGTTGAAGAGGCGGCGCTCATCCGTGAAGCCCCCAAACACCACCATGTGACTTTTGAGTCAACTTAAAAGGCAAGCGGGCATACAGAAGTGCAGCAAGTAAGCGAGCAAGCAGGCATACAGAGGTGCAGCGAGCGAGCAGGCAGGCATACAGAGGTCGAGCACGTGCAGGTCGTTGAAGAGGCGCCGCTCATCCGTGAAGCCCCCAAACACCACCATGTACCGCCCTGCTGTCACCGCCACATGGCCTGCTCGCGGCAGGGGCTTCTGCCCCCTCGCCCTCACCTCCCTCCACACCAGCGAGCCTGAAACGGGTTGGAGACAGGAAAAAGAGTGTAATGCATTGACGGCACCTCAAACACCACCATGTAGCGCCCTGCTGTCACCGCCACATGCCCCGCTCGTGGTAGAGGCTTCTGCCCCCTCGCCCTCACCTCCCTCCACACCAGCGAGCCTAGGAAGGGTAGGGAGAGGAGGGGGGAAAGCGAGTGTGCTAAACTGACTGTGAAGCCCCCAAACACCACCATGTAGCGCCCTGCTGTCACCGCCACATGCACTGCTTGCATGGGGAAAGGGTTTCTGTCCCCTCGCCCTCACCTCCCTCCCTCCACACCACAAGAGGGGGTAAGGAGGGGGGAACGAGATTGTGGTACACTGGATTGAGAGTCAGCAGTGCTGGCTCCAAACATCCACATGCATTGCCTGCCCCGTTCCAAACATCCACATACATTGCCTGCCCCGTTCCAAACATCCACGTGCATTGCCTGCCCCGTTCCAAACATCCACATGCATTGCCTGCCCCGTTCCAAACATCCACATGCATTGCCTGCCCCGTTCCAAACATCCACATGAATTGCCTGCCCCGTTCCAAACATCCATATGCATTGCCTGCCCCGTTCCAAACATCCACATGCATTGCCTGCCCCGTTCCAAACATCCACATGCATTGCCTGCCCCGTTCCAAACATCCACATGCATTGCCTGCCCCGTTCCAAACATCCACATGCATTGCCTGCCCCGTTCCAAACATCCACATGCATTGCCTGCCCCGTTCCAAACATCCACATGCTGTCAGATCCCCCGTTCAGGGCAAAGGCTTCTACCCTCTCGCCCTCACCTCCCTCCCTACCAACGAGCCTGGAAGGCAGCGTGGCGTGGAAAGCGGCCGAGGGCATGGAGACGAACTCTGAAGTCAAAGGACGACACTCAGTCATTTGTTGCCTTGGCTTACTTCCACTCACGGGCCAACGAAACACCAAGTGGTGTCCAGGACTGATTGACGCTGAGGACAAGACACACTGATGATGTCAAGGGCAATGGCTCGCTGATGTGATGTGGAGGACGAAACGAACATCCACTGGTGTGAGTCAGACCCAGTCCCTTCATCCCTTCATCCCATCATCCCTTCATCCCTTCATCCCATCATCCCTTCATCCCATCATCCCTTCATCCCATCATCCCTTCATCCCATCATCCTTTCATCCCTTCATCCCATCATTCCTTCATCCCACCATCCCTTCATCCCATCATCCCATCATCCCTTCATCCCTTCATCCCTTCATCCCATCATCCCTTCATCCCTTCATCCCTTCATCCCATCATCCCATCATCCCTTCATCCCTTCATCCCTTCATCCCTTCATCCCATCATCCCTTCATCCCATCATCCCTTCATCCCATCATCCCTTCATCCCATCATCCCTTCATCCCATCATCCCTTCATCCCATCATCCCTTCATCCCTTCATCCCATCATCCCATCATCCCTTCATCCCATCATCCCTTCATCCCATCATCCCTTCATCCCATCATCCCTTCATCCCTTCATCCGCTCACTGGTGTCGAGCACAAAGACGTCACTGAGGTAGCAGTTGCGCCGAACACGATCAGCTGGTTGCCCCACACACTCATGTGAAGGGCCAGCACAGCACGTGCTGGTATCAAGGCAAGGCACTGAGGCACTCACTGGTGTCGAGCACAAAGACGTCACTGAGGTAGCAGTTACGCGAGTCCTCCCCGCCAAACACAATCAGCTGGTTGCCCCACGCGCAGCAGCTGTGGCTGTCCCTCGGCGATGGTGCCGTGCCTGTTGTTGCCACCCTCGCCCACCGCATCGTGTCTGCACCGCACACATGCACGCACATGCAAAGTACATGCACAAACACACGTGCACAACATATTCACCAACACACACAAACACATGCACTCGCACAAGCACACGCTAATCGCACACACAGACACATGAACGCACACAACATGGAAGAACTCACACCACACCATCGTAAGAAGAGAAAGCTTGAGCTGATAAGTCTTACACTCCAGCACCAAACACGACATAACCACGCACCAAGCCTTCCACTCGCACTCCTGTGTTTCAGTTGTGTCCGGCCACACAATCAGTCAGTCAGCCGCCGTGCTGACCTGCACTCACCAGGGTTGAACACATGCACGTCATTGCAATACGTCTCGTCCACTGTCCCCCCCTCGCCCGCCTTGCCACACCACATCACCCGAACACATACACCAGCCCCTCCACCCGCGCTGCTGCATGCCCCTTCCATGCAGCCGCCCTATCTCATCTCAGCCCTCCTGACCTGCACTCACCAGGGTTGAACACATGCACGTCGTTGTAATACGTCTCGTCCACCATACCCCCCTCGCCCGCCTTGCCACACCCCCCGAACACGTACACCAGCCCCTCCACCCGCGCTGCTGCATGCCCCTCTCGCGCTGCTGGCACGTCCCCCTGCGCCGCCAGCCGTGTCCACGTGTTGGTTGCTGCGAGGGAGGGGGGTGAGGGGGGAAGGGGGAACGGGGGAGGGGGGTGAGAGCGGGACATCTTAAGGCCCCTCGCGTGCTGCTGGGACGTCCCCCTGCGCCGCTAGCCGCGACCACGTGTTGGTTGCTGCGAGGGATGAGAGGGGGAAGGGGCGGGGACAGGGGAACGGGGGGCGGGCGATGGGAGGAAAAAGGTGCGCATGAATTAAGGGGGGTCGGACGGCGGAGAGAGGGACAGGGCTGCAAGGATGACGGGATTGAAGCAGACGGGAAACTGCAGTACAAGCAAAATGGATGTGCATGACACACAGAAGTGCGGCTGCGCTTGAAATGGTTTGGAAATGGCCTGAGATTGAATGCCCTTGGATTGCCCTGACAATTTTCTTGGAACTTCTCTTGACCGTCTATCCATGCGTTTACACTCGACGGCCCGGCATTTGGCGCTAAGACAAGGGTCTCTCAGGTGTCAACCATGCCGACGACGTTGCGCCCTAACGATGGCCGTGCCAGCAGAGGAATTTGTTGCCATCAAGTCGCCAAGGAGTGGCACTCACAGGTGTCGAGCATGTAGAGGTCGTTGAGCCCCGACGACCCATCCGAGCCCGGCTCACCCGTGCCACTGAAGACGAACAGCCTGCTGCCCACCAATGTGCTCGTGTGGCTGTCCGTACAGAGCCGCCACATTTGTCGCCATCAAATCGCCAACAAGTCGCCAAGGAGTGGCACTCACAGGTATCGAGCATGTAAAGGTCGTTGAGCCCCGACGACCCATCCGTGCCACCGAAGACGAATAGCCTGCTGCCCACCACCGTGCTCGTGTGGCTGTCGCGAGGCGACGGCGGCGTGCCCTTGATGTTTGGCTTACTCCACGCGTCCTTGGCTGGACAGAATCAAAGGTGGATGGAGGGAATGGCAAGAGGGAGTGAACGATGGGTGTTGAGCCGGCTCATAACTGTCGCGAGGCGACGGCGGCGTGCCCTTGATGTTCGGCTTGCTCCACGCGTCCTTGGCCGCGAGTCCCGGACAGAAAGGGAAGGGGAAAAGGGGAGCGGGAGGGAATGGCGAGCATGATTGACGCGTGTTGAGACGCCTCAAAACTCTTGCGAGGCAAAGGCAGAGAACCCTTTATCTTCCGCTTGCTCCACGCTAGAGAATACCAAAAGGCCATGACAGACAGACACATAGCCACCAGCCCGGCCGCGACTGTCACGGAGATTTTGAAAGGGAAAGGGAACAGGGAAATACCACGCAGGAGCACGAAGTAACGCGGTTGACTCGACAACGCATACTACGAGAGGAAGTTGGGCCGACCTTGGAACAGCAAATGTCGCCGATCATGCTCAAGGGAAAACGTCTATATAAGGCAGTTTCTACCGTCGCGTGGCCTAAAGCACGGTGTCATGAACGAACACAAAACGTCTGCGAAAAGGCCAGGAAACACATTGTCATGATCTCGTCGTAACACCTGAGTCCGAAGTCCCGCATTGTTACGATCCTGCCTCTGCATTCCCGCATTGCCACGATCCGGTTAACGCCTCTGCATTTCCGCATTGTCACGATCCAGTTAACGCCTCTGCATTCCCGCATCCTAACCATCCCGTTATACTCCAGCCTCCCCGCGTCGTCGTGATCGCGTGAACGCCTCTGCCTGCCCGCATTGTAACGATCTCGTAACGATCGAGCCTCCCCGCATTGCAATGGAAGATTTGCTCCTAAGACGAGTCCTTGGAAAAAAACATAAAAACACGACGCGAGGAAGCTAGACCGGAAAGACGACTTCACGATGATCGTACTTGTGTTGTACACGTAGACGTCGTTCGTCTGCCGCTCGTCCTTGCCATAGCCTCCGAACACGTACACCTGACGACCATAGTTGACGGCATTTAGCGTATGACCCCATTTCCTCCCTGGTCCGTGCTTTCCACCTTTCCTCCCCGGCGATTTGCCTGGGATGGGCTCTTGACGCTTTACCTTTATCTCTATTTTCTCCCAGTGCATCTTTGCAACAACCTAGTTCCCAAAATATCAACTTTCCAAAAAAAATGCTCTTAGCAGTAGATGTTAGGATCTACAGAAAGGCGGATAGTCGGAAATAATGGCACTAATGGCTGCACAGGTGGCACGAAGATATTGGCCAGCGACAATCAATATTGCGAGCTTGGTTGACGGAGTTATCAATTGTAATTCGAGCGGGATTGTGCCACTCTAGAGCCAGTTAGGAGAAACAAATGTTCGCTTGAGGCAGAAATGCTCTCAGCTAGATTAGAGAGATGAAGAGAAGGGGTGAAGATGGTGAAGATAATTCCAAGGAGCGGATATTGTAATGGTGCATTTTGATTGGTTCGTTTCGGTTTGAAACCCTAGGCTTTCCAGGTTTGGCGTTTTGGAAACAGGAAAACGGAAAATGCGGATAGTTTCGACAGTGTTGTTCATTCGCATTCCACATGACGCTTGATCGATTCTGTTTCCGAAGAAGCTAGTAACGAGCCTTCGTCGGCGCCAAACTTTTCTCAAGGTTTGTTGGCAGGAACCGTAGTGTAACGGCTGCATACCGTCTCAAACCTCTCAAACAAGGTAGCCTATCACGACTGTTGGGTTGCTGTTTGTGCTGTTATCGCATCAGACATAACGAGTACAATTGTGTCATTGCGGCAGCTCAGACGCTTTCCAACCCCCCAGGCAGTTTACAAAGCACGTGCAGAAACTTCACTCAAGAGATTAGGAGGTGGTAAAGGAATTTGACAGAAACCACACATGGCGCTCCTCTCCTGCTTCCACTCGCTGAGAACCGTTTCGCAGTTTTGTCGCGTTCGTCTTCTCCTTCCGCGGACCACGCGACTCGTTCCGCTTATTCTCCTCTCAGTTCTCGCTCTGTCGTCAATCTCGAGGGTCTCCTGTATTACATCAACCGCCGACGATGAACATTCATCCCGCGCCACTAAAGCTGCATCTCAAGATCCTGACCGTTCAAAATATTTCTCAGATTCACCAGGAGACGATGATGCTTCGCGCGTGTGCCGCGAGTTGGTGGAGCCGCACGGCTTCACGTGCGAGGATCACCGTGTGAGTGTAACGAACGCTCGTTGTCCGAGGAATTTCTCTCAACCGTGTGAGAGTAACGAGAAGGACGGTCTTACGGAAGTTATTTGTCATAACTTGCTGAGGTAATCCGTGCAGCAGGAACTTGGTTTCATTGATTGTTCCTACAAACAAGGTCTCTGAAATATTTCCTCTAGAATTTGTTCCAGCTTCGTATATCAAGTTTCTCACCTGCCGGTCTGCTGTACAATATCCGCTCTCCTCAGAGTCATACCTGAGAACTGTAGCTACTTGAAATCCGTGTACACATGGATAATGGCTTGCAATATTATCATATCTATTGATCCCCCTCTGGAGTTTTGGCCAGTACTGATAATGATACGTTATCACTTTATCGTCGTTGGTGGCAGGTGGTAACACGGGATGGCTTCGTTTTAGGCCTCCAGCGTGTGACAAGTCGCCAGTTGGACGCGAGTGGAGATGTTTCTGATGTGAATAAAACGAGCGGGGGAAACGGGAGGGGCGTTTCTCGAGGACCGGTGCTGCTCCAGCATGGGCTGTTTCTGGTTCGTCCAGTGTAGAATCAGGTGTAGCTGAATGTTATTATTCCACACGCCCTCGCCTTGCTTTTGCACGTCCCTTTATCACCACATCACACATCTCCTCTCCTCTCTCACACACACATCATCCGCATCACATTCACACTCACAGTGCGGTTCCCTCCTCCCCCTCCCCACCACACACACTACCGCATGTTCCATCAGTCTCTCCTAGCTGCATAACTCCAATCCAACATGTACTAAGGCGCCTCAGAAGCTAAGCGTATACCGTTTACTATCACTTCCCCGCCACTTGTCAGGGAGCCGAGAGCTTGGTTGTGGGCCCTCCCGACAAGTTGACTTTTGCGTCGACTCAAAAGCCACTTCTTTCCCCACCCACGCCACTCGCCAGGGAGCTGAGAGCTGGGTTGTGGGCCCACCAGGCATCTCCCTGCCGTTCCTGCTCGCCAGGCTCGGGTTCGAGGTGTGGCTCGGCAACAGCAGGTGCGGGCCATGGAGCTACGGACACACGAGGTGGCAGCCCAAGGATAAGGTGGGTGGGGAGAAGGGTGGGGAGGGGAGAGGGGGGAGGGAGGGAGTTGCGCGGGAGGGGAGGTTCGATGTATTATGTTGAACAGCAGGTGCGGGTCGTGTAGGTAAGGGCAAACGAGGTGGCAGCCCAAGGATAAGGTGGGAGGGAGGGAGGGGAGGCGGGGGAAAGGGGGAAGGGAGGGAAGGGGGGGTTGATGTTTGAGGCGCCTCAACAGCAGGTGCGGGCTAGGCCCCAACAGCAGGTGCGGGCCATGCCCCAACAGCAGGTGCGGGCCATACCCCAACAGCAGGTGCGGGCCATACCCCAACAGCAGGTGCGGGCCATACCCCAACAGCAGGTGCAGGCCATACCCCAACAGCAGGTGCAGGCCATACCCCAACAGCAGGTGCAGGCCGTACCCCAACAGCAGGTGCGGGCCATACCCCAACAGCAGGTGCAGGCCATACCCCAACAGCAGGTGCAGGCCATACCCCAACAGCAGGTGCAGGCCATACCCCAACAGCAGGTGCAGGCCATACCCCAACAGCAGGTGCAGGCCATACCCCAACAGCAGGTGCAGGCCATACCCCAACAGCAGGTGCAGGCCATACCCCAACAGCAGGTGCAGGCCATACCCCAACAGCAGGTGCGGGCCGGCGAGTTGAGAGCTCGAGTAGCAGCCCGTGACATGCCACTCCTTGCACGCCTTGCACTCCCCCCCTCATTCCATGCATGCAGGAGTACTGGGAGTGGACGTGGGCGGACATGGCACGCCATGACCTGCCAGCGCAGATAGACCACATCCTCACAGCCTCTCACACGGGAGCGAGGCAGGTGTTCTACGTGGGGCACTCGCAGGTGCGTCCCTTGCTCCTTGCAGGTGCGTCCCTTGCTCCTTGCAGGTGCGCCGTGTGCCATTGGAAGGAGGTGACTTATGAGTTGACTCAAGAGTCGCATCGACCACATCCTCACAGCCTCTCACACGGGAGCGAGGCAGGTTTTCTACGTGGGGCACTCGCAGGTGCGTTGCTTGCCTTGCCACACGACCCGCCAGCACATGAGCTTTGAGGTGCCTCAAAGATCGCCGTCCTCTCTGCCTGCCATAAGGCAATCCACACATCCCCTGTCTACCCATCCACTTCTCCCCTTTCCCATGCCATCCCCACCCCTCACTCACACCACACTCACCTCCCTCGCCTCCCTCCACCCTCCCTCGCCCCTCTTCTGTCTGCCATCTTCCCCTCTTCACCATTTTTGCTTCCTCTATTGCGCCCCGCACGGCCCTTTCCATCCTCTCTCTCTACTCCCCCATACCCCTTCTTTTTCCCTTCGCCCTTCTTCCCCTTAGTCCCCTTCTTCGTCCTCACCTCCCTTACTGCCAGCTACCCACCCCCCGCCATCACCATTGCTGCAGATTTCCTCCTCACGCCTTCCCTATCCCTCATTCCCCTTTTTCCCTCCTAGACCCATTCTATGAGGGAACCCTCACCTTCCTCTCCGCCCTCACTGCCAGTTGCCTCCCCCTTCCCACCATCACCGCAGCCTTCCTACTCGCACCTGTCAGTTCCCCCTCCCTCGTTCCCCTTTTTCCCGTCCCCCGTCCTCCCTTGCCCTCACTCCCTTCTTTCCTACCCGTCAGGGCACCCCCACCTTCCTCTCCGCCCTCACCGCTGGTACCTACCCGTTTCCACCATCGCTGTGGCCTTCTCCCCTTCCCTTACCCTCCTAACCCTTTCCCCATCCCCCTCCCCCCTCCCCGTCAGGGCACGCTCACCTTCCTCTCCTCCCTCACCGCTGGCTACCTCCCCTCTTCCACCATCGCTGCAGCTTTCCTCCTCGCGCCTGTCACCTCCCTCGCACACCTCTCCTCGCCCATCGCTCACGAGGCAGCCAAGCTCGACCTAGACCGGGTGAGGTTTGTTAACCTGTAAGATGTGCGTTCACTACCCACACATGCTGCCTGCCTGTGTCTTCCTCCTCGCCCCTGTCACCTCCCTCGCTCATCTCTCCTCCCTCGTCGTCCACGAGGCAGCCAGGCTCGACTTAAACCAGATTTCGGCCCAGCTCGTCTCAGAAGTTGTGTTTGCAGCTTTCGTTCTTCTTCTCTTCTCTTGGCATACATTCCTACATATACCCATATTTGAAATTTACAGCCAGATATGCTCACGCGTCCTCGCTCATCCCAAATCGCATTCACGTACTCCCTTACCCCACATCGCATTCTCTTACCCCTCCCGTGTTCCTTCCCCTCCCTTCACCCTCTCCTACCCCTCTCTTCCATCCCCTCCAGCTGGTGAGGGCGACGCGTCTACATGAGTTCAGCCTGCGCAAGTGAGAGTTTTCGAAGGGTGTTGTGAGGACTCCTTCCTTTGCCTCTCCTTCCTTCCCTCCTCCCCCTTGCATCCATCCCTTCCAGCTGGTGAGGGCGACGCGTCTACATGAGTTCAGCCTGCGCAAGTGAGAGTTTTCGAAGGGTGTTGTGAGGACTCCTTCCTTTGCCTCTCCTTCCTTCCCTCCTCCCCCTTGCATCCATCCCCTCCAGCTGGTGAGGGCGACGCGTCTACATGAGTTCAGCCTGCGCAAGTGAGAGTTGCGAAGAGTGTTGTGAGGAGTGCACACACACTGATATCTTCCTCCAACTCTCCTCCTCCCCTCTTACCCATCCCTTCCAGCTGGTGAGGGCAACGCGTCTACACGAGTTCAGCCTGCGCAAGTGGGTGTTGCATGGGTGCTGCATGGGTGGTGCTTGGGTGCTGCATGGGTGGTGCATGGTGTTGCATGGGTGTTGCATGGGTGGTGCATGGGTGATGCATGGGTGGTGCATGGGTGCTGCATGGGTGATGCACGGGTGATGTAGGGGTGCTGCATGGGTGCTGCATGGGTGGTGCATGGGTGCTGCATGGGTGGTGCATGGGTGCTGCATGGGTGCTGCATGGGTGCTGCATGGGTGGTGCATGGGTGCTGCATGGGTGATGCATGGGTGATGCATGGGTGGTGCATGGGTGATGCACGGGTGGTGCACGGGTGGTGCACGGGTGGTGCACGGGTGCTGCATGGGTGGTGCATGGGTGGTGCATGGGTGCTGCATGGGTGGTGCATGGGTGCTGCATGGGTGCTGCATGGGTGCTGCATGGGTGATGCATGGGTGCTGCATGGGTGCTGCATGGGTGATGCATGGGTGATGCATGGGTGCTGCATGGGTGATGCATGGGTGATGCATGGGTGCTGCATGGGTGATGCATGGGTGATGCATGGGTGGTGCATGGGTGATGCATGGGTGATGCATGGGTGGTGCATGGGTGATGCATGGGTGATGCATGGGTGGTGCATGGGTGATGCATGGGTGATGCATGGGTGGTGCATGGGTGATGCATGGGTGATGCATGGGTGGTGCATGGGTGATGCATGGGTGATGCATGGGTGGTGCATGGGTGATGCATGGGTGATGCATGGGTGGTGCATGGGTGATGCATGGGTGACACTTGATATTGGGGCCCTCCATATGCCACCCCTGCCTGTGACTTTGCCCAGTGCGTTGGGCGAGCTGGTGGGTTGCTACTGTTACTGGTTGTTGCTGTTACTGGTTGTTGCTGTTACTGGTTGTTGCTGTTACTGGTTGTTGCTGTTACTGGTTGTTGCTGTGACTGTGCCACCCTCCCATGACCACTTGATATTGGGGCCCTCCATATGCCACCCCTGCCTGTGACTGTGCCCAGTGCATTGGGCGAGCTGGTGGGTGCCACTGCAGCTGCCCACTTCCTGAACCACACCCGTGTGCCTTCTCACTGTGTTACCTCCTATTCTTGAGTCGACTCAATGCCTGCTCACCTTGCCACCTTCCGTGTGTGTCGCGTCCCTTACTTCCTCTCAGCAGTGCGTTGGGCGAGCTGGTGGTTGCCACTGCCTGCGCCTCTCCTCGCATCAACTGCTCCTCCCTGCTCTCCGCATTCACAGGCATGCACCTCACCACCGCATCACCTCACCACCTCACCACCCCACCAACCCACCAACCCACCATATCTCACCATCTCACCATTTCACCACCTCACCACCTCACCACCCCACTACGTCACTCCCCCACCACCTCACCTCCTGAGAAGCTGAGTACTGGTTTGATTCACGCCTCTTGCTTTTGTACCGTATCTCGCTGGCAGAGTCGCTTCACTTTCCAATCCCTCTCTTATTTTCTCTCTCTTACCTTTTTTTCTCTGCTTCAGACATTCATTGAGGTCACTTTGCATTTGCTGCTATGTGCTCAGCCCATACAACTTCTCTCACCCCCTGTTCTTTCTCCAACAATACTGGTTAGATGTGCCTACTTTCCTGTTCTGTTCGCTGCACTGACCTTCTGTTTCTGTCCATTGTACCCACCCTCCACGCACAGGCCCCAACTGCTGCATTGACATCCGGCACTTTGCATCGTCCCCTGGTTCCCTCTCACGTCCTTGTCAAACTCATTGCACTGACCTTCTGTTTCTGTCCAATGCACTCACTCAATTCCCTCGCGCAGGTTCCAACTGCTGCATTGACATCCGGCACTTTGCCAAGCTTGTCCCCTGGTTTCCTCTCGCATCCTCTGTCAAGAACATGGCTCATTTCGGCCAGAGTAAGCACATGCACATGCACATGCCTTCTATCGAGTTTTGAGATCTATCAAAGCTTGTTCCCTGGTTTCCTCTCGCATCCTCTGTCAAGAACATGGCTCATTTCGGCCAGAGTAAGTACAGCCGTGTGGCTTTTGTTTTGCATTCTGATATACAAGAACGCAGCGTATTTCTTCCATTACAAGTCTCTGCTCATCACCCAGTGCCCTGCTGATGTTTCCATTGGAGCTTGCGCACCATGTGGACACTGATTCTCTATTCATACAGTAGTTACTTTTAAGAATTATCATTTGAGAATTCTCAAAAGTGAGTCTCTTCTCCATCACCCAGTGTCTTGCTGATGTTTCCGTTGGAGGTTGCGCACATGTGGCACTGATCCCCTCTATGCATATGGTAGTTCCTGCTACAGTAATTATATTTTCCTGATTCGATTACCTCTGCATGTGTTTCTTTCCTTCTACCCTGAATCCATTGTCACTTGATCCCTTCCTTCCCAGTGGTTCGCTCTGGAGAGTGGAAGAAGTTTGACTACGGATTCATTAAAAACTGGCTGCAATACCATCAAAGCACACCGCCATTCTTTCGTGCCTCTGATTTCCCCTCTACTACACGACTCGCTATAGCGTATGGTGGCAGAGACTCCCTAGCAGTGCCTGCTGACGTGGAATGGCTCATTTCCAAGCTGGCACGACGACCTGAGGTGCTCTATATTCCACATTATGCACACCTGGATTTCCTGTTCGCCACTTCTGTTGTTATGGATGTGTACTCTCAAATTGTGAGATTCTTTACAGAGTATCAGCTGGACAGAGCGTTTGAATAAAGATTGGGTTTCTTCATCCATATTGAAGGGCTTGTGGGTTGCGTGCGGAGCATGCCTCCATTTGTAATGCACAGCAAGTATTGTATCTTAAGGGTCCAAACAAACTCATCACGCTTAAATTCAGGAGCTTGGGATGCGAAATTCAAACAGAACATGGGTGGTTGGGTATGGTGCCAATAACTTACGCAGGTACATATAACTCCATATGTTAGCAAAGCTGGCATCTGATGAGCGTATTGGGCACGGGCACAAGTGGAAATATGCATGACTGAGTAACACAACAGATGCTCATATGTACAGGAACTAAATAACGGTACTAGCATCATCGGCTGAAGAATCCGTCATGACATGCTGCAAGCAACATGAGCAGGTGAGTTTGGTTGCAGACATACTCAACTGCAACCAGCAAGCACCATGCGCTGATGGATTCGGCATGGGTTACTGCACTCACCAGGAGCAACTGAAAATGCCACGAGATCATCGTGAAGTGAAGAACTCGGAATGAAATGCTGATGGGATCATCAGCTGAAGAGACTGCCGTGAGATGCTGAAGAGGAGGCAGTAATGAATGCACCATCAGCTGGCGAAGGTGCCATGAAATGCTGATCTGATAGCATCATGAGCAGGTGAACCTGGAATAGGTACTGGAACCATCAGGCGTTGATTGAACTGGCATGAGCTGCTGCTGCAAGTTAACATCAGAAGCTGGTCACATTGGAACAACATACGGATAGGTTTGTGACTTGATGAAATTGGCAAGGGCTGGAAAGCATGATGAGCAGATGAATTTGGCACGAGATACTGAATGAAATCATATTGTTCTGAAGAAACATATGTAAGCAAGACGTGCCTCCTGAAAGCGAGGAATGAGAGCATATGTAATAAAAACAATATTATCAGGTTCCACGACGTATGCTTTCAGGTATCCCTCTACATGATTTCCAAGCATCAGATTTGAAAGAGCAATCAGGGATGAGAGCAGAGCATTATGGATGCATACGAGAGAGGGTGTGGGGAGGACGAAAAAATGATTTGTTAAGAAAACGCGGAGACAAGGCAATCTCGTATTACCTAAGTTCTTTTGAATGAGGGCAGGCCGTGAGGGGAGACTGAAAAAAATCCCCTGCAGACTAGAATGGCAGGGCAACATAAACTTGAGCAAGAAGTGCGTTTCCAAACAGAAATGAAAATTCTTGAAGCTGGAGGTAATGAAACAAAGAGCATCAGCTGATGAGGATCATTATACAAACAAACCTGATGATGATTTTCCACCACACACACCTGCTCACCACTTCTCCTTGCTTCACCCCTCCTCTGCTGACCAAGTAAGCATGCGCATTCCACTGGAATCACACAGTCACTGCAAGAAGCATCAAGTTGCTTCTCCCTGCTTCACCCATCCATACGATTACACCCACCAACCATTCCTCCATGCACCACTCAGTCGCAACACACAAGCACAGAATGCACATCAACAGCATACATATAATTAAAGCATCACAAGCTACAGACCTAGAACATAGGGTTTAGACCTAAATAATAAATATCTAGAACATATTTCTGCTATTCATGAGCCAAGCAGGTGCACGGTGCAGCAACAGATTGCAGTCAGCATGAGCATTCCCCTCAATCACACAGTCAGCAGAAGCATTCAGATCCAAGGGCATGCTCTTCCCCCTCATGCCATGCCTCCCCATTCCAGCTCACCACATTCCCCCACCTCTCCTCCCATCTCTCCCACAACACCCTGCAAGCAGTGTGGAAAAAGGGGTAAGTCCCTCCATGCACCTTCCTCTAGTCCCCACCAGCCATGCCATCTCGCCCACCACACTCGTACCTTCACATCCCCATTGGACACGCCCTGGATCCGATCTGCTGCTGCTGCTGCTGCTGCTGATTTTTATTATTTTTTTTCTGTTCTTTTTTTCCCTTTTTTTTTTTTCTTCTTTCCACCCCTTCACTTGGCCGCTACCTTCCCCGGCTTGGGAATGCCACTTGCCGTTGCTCCTGCTGCGACCCTCCTTGGTGCCGCACTGCTTGCAGGTCTCGGTATTCCAGACCCGCCAACAACACCCGCCTTTGGGCTGAGGGGAGCTGCTGCTGCTACTGCTGGGCTGCTTGCACCTGCAGCCTTCACGTCAACCACGGCAGCATTGATTGCACGTGTCGCCTTAGCTGGTGTCGCTGGGGTCGCCTTAGCAGGCGCCGCCTTGGCTGGCGTTGCCTTGGCTGGCGTCACCTTAGCTGGCGTCGCCTTAGCTTCCGTCGCCTTAGCTTGCGTCGCCTTGGCTGGCGTCGCCTTGGCTTGCGTCGCCTTTACTGGCGTCGCCTTGACTGGCGTGGCTTTGGCTGCTGCAGCTGCGACGGTCGCTTGACCGCTGTGCACCGCTCTGGGCTTCACAGCAGCAGCGGTACCCATCACATCCCTGGGCCTGGGCTTCTTGCTGGGCGGCTTAGCCACGGGCTTGGGTCGCAGAGGGGAGAAGCCGAGCGACGCACGGGGGGAGCGTATAGTGCACTGCTCTACCTCGTTTAAGCGTCCCACGCGCACTGCAATCGCGTGCCGCCACATCTTCAAGATGTTAGCTGCGCGGGGGATTCGAGTTGCCATAGCGGTAGGGCACAGGACAAACGAGAGGCGAAGATAAAACCTGAAGCTGATCGAAGGAGCTAGAATCAGAGTCGAAGAAATATTCAGATTGCAACTGATGTGGTGGTGGAAATGGCGAGGACAGGTGGGCTTTGTATTGTTGGGAAGGGAGGTTCTAAGGCGAAAGAAGAGTGGATGAAGCTCGACTGGCGAAGAGCAATTCTCGAGGCTCCGGAGGAGGCGAGCCCGCTGGCCGAACCGATACGAGCAAACACCCCGAAACATATGGTGGGGGGGATGATCTGCTTTGGTTTAGTTGGAGCCGAACCTCTGGAGGCTTGGGAGCGGAACTTCGATGTCGTAGGACAGCAGCAGCGACTCTTTCGCTTCGGACGACGAGAATTCGGGGCAGCGAAAAACATCTCGAGTCGCATTTCCGCTAAGCTCTCCCGCTGCCCGAGCATGAGGAAGTGGTTCGTCCGCGAAAAGAAGGAATCTGGTGGTGTGTTGACTGGATGATGGGTGAATTTTATGGACTTGCCGTCGTGAGATGAGACCAAGGCTGCTCAAAGAATGGTTCCGTTCCGTCATCGTCAATAGAGTGCAATTGTCGCCGCATAGCGGCGGAGGGCAAACGCGACTGAGACGGAGCCTGCGTCGCAAGGTGACTGAAGGAAACGCGCCTCGCGGGCTTGTTTGTAGTACTCCCGAGGAACTAGGGTTCTCTCTGGCATCCCAAACCAAGCCATCGAGAATGGCGCGAAACGAAAGTGGAGAGTAAAACTAGTGATGCGATATTCGCAGATTTATTAACCGTGATGCAAGTGTAAGTTTTAAAAGCACTTGGAACCATGTAACTGTTTAAATTCACTCTAGTATTCTTAACAAGTCTGATATTTTCATCTTATCCCTACAATATACAAATAAACTTAAGACGTGGGAACAGCAAACAATATCTCAATCAAATAATTACAATATTTCAAGATGGTTTGGTTCATGCCCACTGTAACTTCCATTCCAAGCTTAGGCAGCCAGAGCTGGCATCATGTGCTGATAGCATCATGACCAGATAGGATAAAAATAGTTTACTAGCAACTTCAGCTGAAGAGACTGCCATGAGTTGCTGAAAGTGGATGCGATAGCGAATGAGTCATTAGCTGGCGAAGTCATCACGAGCCAGTGAACTTGGAATAGATAGTGAAGCCACTTGGCGGGCTGATAGTACTGGCATAAGCTGCTGCTGCAGACATCGTGAGCTTGTAAAATTGGAAGCATACGCATAGGTTTGTGACTGGACAAAATTGGCAGAAAAGCATGAGGAGCAGATGAAATTGACAGAAAAGCATATGGAGCAGATGAATTTGGCATGGGAAACTGAACACATCAGGAGCTGCTGAAATCCACACTGAGATACTTACGGCATGACGCGATGGTGACATGAGAAGAGCTACAAAAACATCAGGGGCTGATGATGAAGGCAGAGATGACGAGATTAGTAGGAGACGCTGAAACAGCATTGCCTGGTGGAATGGACATGAGAACCTGAGAGCATAGGCTGAGACTGGTATGCAATACTGAAAACATCATGATCTCCTGAAACTGGCACAATACAAAACGCTTAAACATGAGCTACTGAATTTGGCATAAAATACCAATTAGATCTACAAAATCAGCTGAAGGATTTTCTTTCCCTCATAAAAGACTGCAGTTGCTGTGAAAATGGTGCAAACAACCGGCAGGGGTGCTGACAGAATCACTGCTGGCTGACTTTCAAATAAGGGAAAGCGGAAGCAGGGAGTGAAGGTTGAAAAGGGCAGAGCGGGAGGCACTGGCAAATATTGACTGGGAAGGCAACACCGATTAAACAACATAGCGTATGAAATTCGCCAATTGTCAGATAGCTAGGGAAACGGTCTGAGGAAGCAAGGGGGGATGGGTTGAGATAAATATGTTCCTGAATTCTCTCAAATCAGTGCAGGTAGTCCTCAAGAGGAAACTCTGAATGAACATACCTAAGCGGTGAGAAGAGGTGTAGAGTGGTGAAGGTTGACTGGAAGTGGAAGGAAAGGAAGCTAAGTGGGCAGGAAGGGAGTTGTGAACACATAATGGAAAGAGCGCTGAAACTATGAAAACTGACTGACAGGGCAACAGGCTAGAAATGCTTTTCTAAGCAGAAGTAAAATCTCTTGAAGCTAGAGGTAATAAAAACAAAAGGGTTCAATTAGAAGATCTGAGCTAATCAGATTCATTACCAGCACTTGAAGAGATCCACGAGAAGCAAGTGAGCGTGAGAATTCTCCACACCCCTGCTGAACCACTTCCCCCTTCTTCACCCCTCCTCTGGCCAAAGGCACGCCAACGGCTGTCCCTCCTTTCCACGCACCACTCCCTCCCAGCATCATGCTGAGCTGAGATGAGCAGGACCAACTGAGAGCATCATGAGCTGATGTGAATGGCATGCAGCTCATGAGCTAAGGAGCGAATGATGAGCTAATGAAAGGGACATGACAGGGTGAAGCAATGATGAGCTGAGAATGGTCGCATGGGAATCTCAAAGCATGATGAGCTGGTATGAATGGCATGTGGCTCATGAGCTAAGGAGCGGATGATGAGCTAATGAAAGGGACATGACAGGGAAAAGGAGTTGACGAGCTGAGAACTGTCGTATGAGAATCTTAAAGCATCGTGACATGATCTGAGAGCGGATTGGCATGAAATCGGGAAATAATCAGGAGGTGATGAAACTGGCGTGCAAGCAATGCAGCATCATATGCTAAAAGAAAAAACAATGCAGCGTCGTCTGCTATAAGAAAGCATCAGGAGCTGATAAGGAATGGTAAACGCATATGGAGCTGATAAGACTCTGTTGACAAACTTAAAGCCTGATGACATTAGGACGTGATGAAACTGGAATGAAATACTCACCAAGCAGCACAAAAGTGACAGACAAGAGACGTCAGGAAGGGACGGGGTAAGTCGAGGGACAATGGAACGAATGCTCAGAATTCCCAACCACGACTCCAGTAAGAAGCGCAGACGAAAAACGTCGAGATGAGATCATTCGAAGCAGGGGGTAAGAGGAGGGGATGCAGAGGGAAAGAAAGGGATCAAAACGGGGTGAAGTCATGACAACAGTCAGCACAAGCATTTCCCTTGAATCAAACAGCCAATGGCAGCACCATCAAGTCACTTACACCAGCTTCACCCCTCACCACACGAATACACACACCAAAACATTCCTTACTTTCATGCACCACTCAGTCGCAACACACCAGCACAGAAAGCACATAAACAGCATATACATAAATAAAGCATCAAAGACTACAAGCTACAGACCTACAACATAATCTATGAGAATCTACAACTTGCTACTATGCAAGAGCCTAGCAGGACGCTGCAGCAGCGAATCCAAGGGAATTCAAGAGCCAGGCAGGTGAGCAGCAACGGATCTAACAGAATGCCATTTCACGCCATGCAGCAACGGATCTAACTGAATGCCATTTCATGCCATGCAGCAACGAATTCAAGGGCATATTCTTCCCCCTCATGCCATGCATCCCCATTCCAGCTCACCACATTCCTCCGCCTCTCCTCCCATCTCTCCCACAACACCCTGCAAGCAGTGTGGAAAAAGGGGTAAGTCCCTCCATGCACCTCCCTCTCGCCCCCACCAGCCATGCCATCTCACCCACCACAGTCATTCTTTCAAATCCCCATTGTACACGCCCTGAATCTCATCTAATGTTGTTGTTGTTGTTGTTGTTGTTGTTGTTTTTTGTTGTTTTTTTTTTTTTTTTTTTTTTTTTTCAGTCATTCACATGGGTGCTACCTTCCTTGGCTTGGGAATGCCACTCGCAGTCGCTCCTGCTGCAACCCTCCTTGTTGCCGCACTGCTTGCAGGTCTGGGGATTCAAGACCCGCCAACAAGACCCTGAGTGGAGAAAAACGCAAAACGCACCAGAAAACGCAGAACGCATGGGAGAAAATTTTTCGGGCAGCCCGAATTTTTTTTTTCCAGCTTACGAAATTGACATTCGCGATTTTAGTGCGAATGTCAATTTCGTAAAAAAAGAACCCCTTCCAACCCAAATCGACCCCACTAAATCTACCCCACACCAAAATTCCCAAGTTTGAGTTCAAAATTGAACCCAAACGCTTTGCACCGCACACCATCTACAAACTCCAACCATTGTGGCCAGCCACCACAATGGTTAAGGAGGTGAAAATGACTCATTTGTGCTTCTCCTTTCTAGATCCCAAATTCTCTTTCAAAAACCCTTGTGGGTTTAGCAAGCTCCCCCTCTAAGTTATGGCTTCCACGTCTAGGGATTCCACCGGTGATTCCGACCGTAGTCCTCCTCCTGTTGTTGACGTTAGCACCACGGCCGCCGATAAGGAGGAGAATGCGGATACATCCGATAAGTCTAAGCACCTTGTCTATTCGCATTACACCTTTTTCACTGATCCAAACAAGAAGGTTAAGCAAGTGAAATGCGACTTTTGCGGCAAGACGTTTAGCTTTACTAGTGTCCGTTGCGCCTCTCACCTCGCCATATGGAACAACCCCAATACTCGCCGTGAGGTTGGCCCGATTTGTAAGAACGTACCCAAGCGCGTTTCCGATGAGATTCGCGCGTTGATGGAGGGGAAAATTGCGGCGCGCAAGGACAAGGAGAAGGCGGCGGAGGCGGCGATCTCTTCAGTGAGCGGCAAGAGCGCGGCGGGGCCAAAGCCGAAACGGGGGCGCATGGAAGACTTCTACGGAGACGAGGGTCTCTCGTCCAAGCGGAATGCCGACGAGGCGATATGCCTCTATTTCGCGGGGATGCGCGTGGCGGAACGGCAGTGCGAGAACCCCCTCTTCCTCAACATGCTTCGCGCCGTCACCGCCGCCGGCCCCAACTACGTCCCTCCCAAGCGTGACTACGTCGGCGGCGCCGGACTCCTGGCGTGCAAGAAGAGGATCGAGAAGGGATTGGCGCCGATTACCGACACGTGGGCGAAGACGGGCGTGACGATCGCCAGCAATATGATGACGGACAAGAGCGGGCGCGCGCAGATGAACATCCTGCTCCTCAACGATGCCGGTGCTGTTTTCGTCGAGGCAGTTGACTGCAAAATGGAGCTGAAGAGCGGAGCGTTCGTGGCCGGCATCTTGCGCCCGATCATAAAGAAGATCGGCCCGGAGAATGTCGTCGCGCTGTGCATGGACGGTGGCAGCAACTACGCGTCGGCATGCAAGCTGCTGCAGGCGGAGTGGCCGCACATCGAGCATGTGCCATGCGCCACCCACGTGCTCGACTTGCTGATGGAGGACATCGGCAAGATGGAGTGGGCGCGAGACGTCGTCGGCCGAGCGGGCGACATGATCACGTTTCTGCGCATCCACCTGTGGACGCGCGCTTTTCTGCGGAGTCCGGAGCTGCACGGCGGGAAGGCGCTGCAGCCGCTGCGACCGGTGGGCACGCGTTTTGGGACGCAGTACATTGCCGTGTCTCGTCTTTGCCAGCTTCGCTCGCAGCTGCTGCAGATGGTGGTGCATGACGGCTGGAAGAAGATGAAGGGGAAGAAGGGGAAGAAGGGGACGAAGGAGAAGAAGACGACGGCGTGTGACTTCGAGGCGTGGGTGATGGATGTGGATTGGTGGGAGAAAGCGGGGTTTTTTGTGCAGCTGATGGAGGTGCCATTCATGGTGATGAGGACGGACTCGCAGGCGAAGGGGATGATGGGTGCTATCTATGACATCATGCTGCAGCTGACGGAGGACATGGCGAAGCTGCTGGATGGTGATATGTGTAAGCTGAAGGAGGAGGAGAAGGTTGAGGTGCAGGAGCACTTGAGGCGCCGCTGGGACGAGAGTTTGGCGTGCCCCCTTCACGTGGTTGGCCGGATCCTTAATCCGGCCAACCAGCTGGAGGAGATTTTCCTGCGTGACGTCGAGTGCACCAAGGTGATGAGGGAGTGGCTCGCCCGCTCTAAGGTCTTTGTCGACAAGTTCTGGAAGGGGAAGAAGGGGCCGCACAAGAGTTTGCAGGAGGGGATGTTGGCGTACATCAACGCCACTGGGAGCTTCGGATCGGAGGAGGCGAGATTGGGGCGTGAGGAGCTGCAGGATAGGAAGGGGGACGTGCTGGCGTGGTGGCAGTATCACGGCTGGGAGTATGCAGACCTGGCTGGACTTGCGCGCCATGCGCTGTCCCAGCAAGTTTCCGCCGCCCCGTGCGAGCGGAACTGGTCTGTTTGGGACGGCGTGCACACGGCGCGCAGGAACAGGCTCGGGTCGGAGAAGGTCCGGGACCTTGTGTACGTTGCGCACAACTGGACAGTTGTGCACAACCATCACAAGGGAGCGGCTGTTGCAGGGCCTAGTGGGGTGGGAAGGAAGGGGGGGATCGTGGAGGGGAACATTCCCACCCCCCCCCTCCCCGAGGGCTACAAGCTGGAGGAGGATGGGGAGGTGGAGGAGGATGAGGACGCGATCTGTGTGGATGAGCACGCGCACCAGGAGGATGGCGAGGAGGAGGAGGAGGGCGAGGAGGAGGAGGGCGGGGAGGACGAAGATTAGAGGAGATGGCGTGGACTGTGGTAGCTTGCTCTAGTTTGCTTATTGCTAGACTAGAGTGACTAACTAATCGTGACTATGGGAACCTAATGTTGGGGGGGAATTTTTTTTTGTCGGAAAAAATCTCCTCAAATCTATGCTATGTGCTTCTTCCCCCCCTTCCCTTGCACCATGAGAGGTTTTTTTGCCTGCCCGTACCTTTTTTTTACCCTGCCCGGGCTTGCGTTTTTTTTGCGTTTTTTTGAATCCTGGAAATGCATTCTGCGTTTAAAACGCTGCGTTTGAACGCAAGCGTTTAAAACGTCGAACGCGTTTTTCTCCACCCAGACAAGACCCGCCTTCATGGTGAGAGGAGCTGCTGCTGCGGCTGCTGCTGCTGGGCTGCTTGCACCTGCAGCCTTCACACCTACTGTGGCAGTAGGGCTTGCACGTGTCGCCTTAGCTGGTGTCGCTGACGTCACGTTAGCTGGCGGCGTCGCCTTAACTGGCGTTGCCTTGGCTGGCGTCGCCTTGGATGGCGCCACCTTAGCCTGAGTCGCCTTAGCTGGCGTAGCCTTAGCAGGTGTCGCCTTAATCGGCGTCACCTTAGCTGGCGTCACCTTAGCTGGCGTCACCTTAGCTAGCGTCACCTTAGCTGGCGTCACCTTAGCTGGCGTCGCCTTGGCTGATGTCACCCTGGTTGATGTCACCTTAGCTGGCGTCACCCTGGCTGGCGTCACCCTGGCTGATGTCACCTTAGCTGGCGTCACCTTAGCTGGCGTCACCTTAGCTGGCGTCGCCTTGGCTGATGTCACCCTGGTTGATGTCACCTTAGCTGGCGTCACCCTGGCTGGCGTCACCCTGGCTGATGTCACCTTAGCTGGCGTCGCCATAGCTGGCGTGGCTTTGACTGCTGCAGCTGCGACGGTCGCTTGACCGCTGTGCACCGCTCTGGGCTTCACAGCAGCAGCGGTACCCATCACATCCCTGGGCCTGGGCTTCTTGCTGGGCGGCTTAGCCACGGGCTTGGGTCGCAGAGGGGAGAAGCCGAGCGACGCACGGGGGGAGCGCAGAGCGCACTGCTCTTTCTCGATGAAGCGCCCCACCCGCCATGCAATCGCTCGCCGCCACATCTTCAAGACGTTAGAACCGCGGCGCGTGCTGCTGAAGCTGCTGCTGATGCCGCACACCGCAGCGGATCCAACGGGAGACGGGGTGATCCGAGATGCCATCGCAGGAGCGAGAGGCCAAGAGCACAGGCGGAACGAGAGGCGAACCTAGGAGCTGAAAGCTGATCGAATTTCCGAGAAGCTAGTAGCTGAATCTGAGAGTTGAAGGAATAAGGAAATTGCAACTGCTGTGGTGGTGGGAATGAAGAGGACGGGTGGGCTTTGTAGTGTTTGGAAAGGGAGGAGGTTTCAAGGCGGAGGGAAGAGTGGATGGAGCTCGACTACGGAGAGAAGCAACTCTCGAGGCTGTGGAGGAAGCAAACCTGCTGCCCGAATCGAGAAAGACAAAAAAACACTCCGAAAAGTGCTCTGGCTCTGCTCTGTATTAGGGGCCGAACCACGGAAGATTTGGCTTGCCAATAAAAGGAGGCCGAGTCCGCTGCTCCAAACCGAACCTTGAAGCTCGGCATCTGGTCAGCCAATTGGAGAAGGCCGATTCTTTGGCCCCAAGTCGAACCACGAAGCCTGGCGCTGTCGGTTGACAGTATTGCGGCTCGGTAATCTACATTCACGGAGTTTCTGGGCAGCAGGCTCAACTGCAGCTGCCCAAAAATATACGGGTCGCATTTTCCGTTAAGCTCGCTGGCTGCCCAAGCAACATGAAGCGGTTCGTCCACGAAAAGAAGGGGTCTGCTGGTGCGTTGACTGGATGATGGGTGAACTTGACGGACTTGCCAGTGTGAAACAAAACCCAAGGCTGCTCAACGAATGATTCTGTTCCGTCATCGGTAATAGAGTGGAAATGTTGCCGCATAGCGGCGGGGGGCAAACGCGACTGAGACGGAGCCTGTAATGCGTCACAAGGCGACTGAAGGCATTGCGCTGTCAGGAAACGCGCCTCGCACGCATGCTTGTAGTAAGCTGCTCCCGAGGAACTAGGGTTCGGTCTGGCATCCCAAACCAGGCTATCGAGAATGTTGAGGATGAAGGGTAAACTAGCAATTCGATATTTGCAGATTTGTTAACCGTAACACAACTGTAAGATTCATATGAACTTGAAAACTTGCAACTGTTTAGATTAATACTAGTTTTCTGGTCAGTTTCTAGTTTTCAGTGAAGCTCTACAATATAGAAACGTTGTGGGAACACAATCTCTCAATAGAGAAGTGAAATACTTCATGATGATCCGGTTGTTGTCAATTGTGATTAAATAACTGGGATTGCTGCAGGATTGACAGCAGAATGTGCCAATAAAGTTGGCATCATGTGCTCATAGCACTCTCTGCTGAAGAATTCGCCACGAGATGCAGTAAGGATCATGAGCAGGTCAGCGTGGTTGGCAGATATCCTGAAACCAGCAAGCATCATGAACTGATGAATTTGGCATGAGTTGCTGGAGTCATGAAGAGCAAATGTAAATCAGGATACAATCATGAGCTGATGGAACCGCAATGCAATACTGATGGCATCATCAGCTGCAGAGACTGCCATGGGGTGCTGAAAGAGAATGCGATAGTGAATGCGTCATCAGCTGGCAAAGTTGCCATGAAATGCTGCAAGCATCATGAGCAGGTGAACTTGGAATATATACTGAAACCAGAGCTGATTGAACTGATTGGAATATATCAGCAGCTCATGTCTGGAAAGGCAACACCGACTAAAAAAAAATCTTACAGCATCACTGATGGCCAATCGTCAGATGCTTAGGGAAGAAGTATGAGGAAGCAAGCAGGGGATGGGAATTGGGAGACACTTGGATAATCAGGCAAGTTCCTGGATTTTCTCAAATCAGTGCTGTTAGACCTCAAGAGGGGATTTTGAACATCGACCATCATGAGGGGGTGAAGAGTGGTGAAGCTTGATAGGTAGTGAAAGAAAAGGAAGTTGAGCGGGAAGGAAGGAGGGAAGTTGTGAACACTGAGTGGAAAGAGTGTTGAAACTTGAAGAGGGCAGAGAGAGAGGCATCGAAACTACAAACACCGACCCGACAGGGCAGTACGGACTAAAAAGGCTTTTCTAAGCAGCACTAAAATCTCTTGAAGCTCTAGGCAATAAAAACAGAAGTCGTCAACGAGAAGGCATCAGCGATGAGATTCATTACCAGCACTTGAAGGGCTCCATGAGAAGCAAGTGAGCATGAGAATTCTCCACACTTCTGCTGAACTGCTTTCCCCTTCTTCACCCTTCCTCTGGCCAAAGGCATGCCACCGGCCGTCCCTCCCTCCCACGCACCACTCCCTCACATGCTGAGACCACGCATCATGCTGAGACCAAATGAGCACGAGCCACTGAAAGCATCTTGAGCTGATGTGAATGGCATGAGGCTCAGGAAGGAGCTAAGGAGCGGATGATGAGCCAGTGAAGGGGACATGCCATTTAGGGTAAAGAATTGATGAGCTGAGAAGAAATGCATGAGAATCTTAAAGCATCATGACATGGCATGACCTGATCATGGATTTTCATAAAATCGTGAAAGCATCAGGAGCTGGTGAAACTGGCATGCTAAAAGAAAAGAGAAGAACAGAAAAATGCAAGTACGGAAACATAATACAATATTCCTTGATTCCTTCAACGATTACTACTGTTGAAGTTTCAGAGAGGTGAGGGAGGTGGCGGCAGGGAACCAAGAAATTTGGAGAGAGGGACCGCAGAATGCCATGAGCTCATCAAATGAGACTAGCTAAAAACCACTGAAAGCATCAAGAGCTGTTGTGTATGCCATGAGATATTGCGAGAATGATGAGCTGATGATATCTGAATAAGACAGCGAAAGAAATTAGGCAAAAAGGGTGAAAGCATCACGAGCTGATAAGGAATGGTGAAAACATATCGAGCTGATAAGACCCTGACGACAAATTTAAAGCCCGATGACAACAGGAGGTGATGAGACTGGAATGAAACGCTCACCAAGCAGCACATGATGGTACGAAACGAAGAAACGAAACCCAGGGTTGGTCTATGCATAAGTTTTGTTCAGATTCCAAAGAAATGCAAGGACGGAGGGAGGTAGGGATGGATGGAATGGCACCAGGTGGTGGCAATACAGTCAGACAAGAGATGTCAGGAAAGGATGGGGCAAGAGGGATTGTGGGTAGATTGTTCAAGAACACTCAACCATGAAGTTAATGATAAGTGCAGAGGAGACACGTTGATGAAATCATTCCAAGCAGGGGGTACGAGGAGGGGATGCAGAGGGAAGGAAAGGGATAAAAATGGGGTGAAGTGATGACAACAGTCAGCACGAGCATTTCCCTTGAAATCAGACCGTCAGTGACAGCACCATCAAATCACCCCCCACTGTTTCAACCCTCACCACGTGAATACATCCTCCAGCCATTCCTCCCTTTCATGCACCACTCAGTCGCAACAAAAACACAGAGAGAACATCAACAGCATATATATAAATATAGCATCAACGACTACAAGCTACAGACCTAGAACCGAATCTATGACAATCTAAATCATTCTTCTTTTCAAGAGCCAAGAAAGTGCACAGTGCAGCAGCGGATACAAGGGCATTCAAGAACCAGGCAGGTGATCAGCAACAGATTCAACAGAACACAGTCAGCATGAGCATTCAGGCACATCAGCAGCGGATCCAAGGGCATGCTTTTCCCCTTCATGCCATGCCTCCCCATTCCAGCTCACCACATTCCTCCACCTCTCCACCCATCTCTCCCACAACACCCTGCAAGCAGGGTGGAAAAAGGGGTAAGTCCCTCCATGCACCCCTCTAGCCCCCACCAGCCATGCCATCTCACCCACCACACTCGTCCCTTCACATCCCCATTTATTATACCCCAGGATCCCATTTAATTCTGCTGCTGCTGCGTTTTTTTTTTTTTTTTTTCCATTTTAATTTATTTTTTACTTGGCTGCTACCTTCCCTGGCTTGGGAATGCCACTCGCAGTCGCTCCTGCTGCGGCCCTCCTTGTTGCTGCACTGCCTGCAGGTCTGGGGATTCCAGACACGCCAACAAGACCCGCCTTCGGGCTGTGGGGAGCTGCTGCGGCTGGTGCGGCTGCTGCTGCTGCTGGTGCTGCTGCTCGGCTGCTTGCACCTGCAGCCTTCGTACCTACCGCGGCAGTAGGGCTTGCAAGTGTCGCCTTCGCTGGCGTCACCTTAGCTGGCGTCGCCTTAGCTGGCGTCACCTTAGCTGGCGTCGCCTTAGCTGGCGTCGCCTTGGCTGGCGTCGCCTTGGCTGGCGTCGCCTTAGCTGGCGTGGCTTTAGCTGGCGTGGCCTTAGCTGACGGCACCTTAGCTGACGTCACCTTAGCTTCCGTCGCCTTAGCCGGCGTCGCCTTGGCTGGCGTCGCCTTAACTGACGTCGGCTTAGCTTCCGTCGCCTTGGCTGGCGTGGCTTTGGCTGTTGCAGCTGCGACGGTCGCTTGACCGCTGTGCACCGCTCTGGGCTTCACAGCAGCAGCGGTACCCATCACATCCCTGGGCCTGGGCTTCTTGCTGGGCGGCTTAGCCACGGGCTTGGGTCGCAGAGGGGAGAAGCCGAGCGACGCACGGGGGGAGCGCAGAGCGCACTGCTCTTTCTCGCTGAAGCGCCCCACGCGCCATGCAATCGCGCGCCGCCACATCTTCAGGACGTTAGCGCGGCGGCTGAAGCTGCTGCTGATGCCGCACACCGCAGAACAGCTCGCGGATCCTACAAGAGACGAGGTGGTCAGAGATGCCATCGCACTCAGAGCGAGAGGCTAAGAGCACAGGCGAAACGAGAGCCGAAGCTACAAGCTGAAGCTTATCGAAGTTCCTGAGGAGCTAGAAGCTGAGTCTGAGAGTTGAAGGAATAAGGAATTTGCAACTGATGCTGTGGTGGGAATGAAGAGAAGCTTTGTATTGTTTGGGAAAGGAGGAGGTTCCCAGGCGGAGGGAAGAGTGGATGCAGCTCGACTGGCGAACAAGCAACTCTCGAGGCTCCGGAGGAAGCAAGCATGCTGCCCGAACGGCGAAGAAAGGCAAAAGAAAAGAAGACCCCGAAAAGTGCTCTGGTTTTGCTCTGTATTAGGAGCCGAACCACGGATGTTTTGGCCAGCCAATAGGAGGAGGTCGAGGTTGCTGCTCCCAGCCGAACCTCGAAGCCCGGCAAATGGCCCGCCAACAAGAGTAGTCTGAGTCTTGTCCTTCAAGCCAAGCCTCGAAGTCCGACACTCTCGGTTGACAACATTGTGGCTCGTTCATCTAAATTCACGGAATTTCTGGGCAGCAGGCTCAACTGTAGCTGCCCAAAAATATACGGGTCGCGTGATCGCCCGCTGCCAGTGGAATAGGAAGCGGCTCGTGCACAAAATAAGGGGGTTCTCCTTGTGGTTGACTGAATGACGGGTGAAACTGGACGGACTTGCTGCCGTGAGATGAGCTCGAGGCTGCTCGAGAATGTCTCCGTTCGGTTCCGTCATTGTGATTCGTTAAACACTGAAATCGCCGCTTCACAGCGGCGGGCGAACGCGACTGCGGCGGACGCTGGTCTCTGCTCCGTCCTGACCTGACTTCACGAATCTATCGCCACTCCCGCAACTAAGGTTCTAGGGAACTACGCTTCTGAGCAGCTAGGGTTCCGCAATCATGGTTCTGTTTCCAACATTTTCGTCTGCTTTGTAGGTACTTCCGATATTTGCACATGCAAATACAAAACAGAGGGTACATGGTAAAGGCTCCAAGTGTCAAGCTTTTCCAATGAGCATGAATGAAGCCTTGTTATTAATGAAGTACTAGGTGAACCAAAGAAAAGCATCGTCTCTGGTGAAAATAAACTACCCTCAATCCAGATGGTGGAACAAGCAGATAGTTACACAAAAGGTGATTAAATCTGTCAAACTAGAGAAGGGCTATTCCTTGAACCACTTGGCCTAACTACTCCCTTCAATCGCTCGATGACAACAATCCTAACCTCTCACAAGCAACCTGTTACAGCTTTATTTTTTTGAGGCGCTTGTAAACTCAACCTGCAAGATAAATCTATCATCCGTTGAACATGCACGGACATCACAAACAAGCCCAATCAGTCCCAAGCTGACTCTCCTCCCTCCCCAATCGTGTCAATCCACTCACTCTTCAACGCCTTCGCTATGCCTCCTTTCTTCCCCATCTTCTCCATTCCCTTCACCTTCTCTGTTACCCTGACATTCCCTGCCTTAATCTCTGGCAACCCCGCCCTGCCTTCTGCCATCCACACACCATCCTCCTCCACTTTCCCCACCCCACTCCCCACCACCACTTCTGACTTTCTCTTCACCCCCTTCGCAACCTCCCATTTCCCATCCCCTCCTTTCTTCCCTTCTCTCTTCGCTTCCCCTTCCTTTCCCTCATTTCCCCCCTTCACCTCCCTCTTCCCTCCCTTCCTGTCCACCATCACATGCAGCAGCAGTTCACTCCCATGCATCACCTTCGCCTCCTCTTCCGCCCTGGCCTTGTCTCTCCTCGCGCTCTTCCCCTCCGCCTCCGCTGCAGCATCACCAGCAGCACCAGCAACAGCACGAGCACCAGCAGCAGCACTGTGAGTCTCTTCTCCTTTCTCCTTAACCACCTCTGCAGTCTTCTCCCTCTCCTGCTTCCCCTCCTTTCCCCCTTCCTCCTGCTTCTGCCCCTCTTCCTCCCCCTGTTCACTCCCCTGCTTCTTCTTCTGCCCATTCTTCTTCCCTTTCCCCGCCTCTCCCTTCGTTTCCTTCGCCTCCTCATCCTCCATAGTAGCATCTCCGCTGCTATCACCCAGAACCTCACACTCCTGCCCAGCCCCCTCTGCCTCTCGCCCCCTCCCTCCTCCCTTCCCCACCTTTCGCGAATCTAACAGTCGCAAGCGAGGCAGGTGCGTGAGAATCTGGTGTGGGTGAGTGGGGCGGGGGGGGAGGGGGTTGAAAAGTTGGGGGGACAGAGAGGGAAGCAGTAGGGAAACATTGAGTCGACTCAACAACCCCCAACAGTCGTAAGCAAGGCTGGGGGCACGTGCTTGAGAATCCAAAGTTGAGACGCAAGAGATGATTGAGGAAGGTACGAGGGAGGGGGGGGAAGACGCAACTTGTTCTCACTTGCGTTCTGTAATGTTTCAAAACTCACCTGCGCTTTGGTCTCACCTGGGCTTTGGTCCCACCTGGGCTTTGGTCCCACCTGCGCTTTGGTCTCACCTGGGCTTTGGTCCCACCTGCGCTTTGGTCTCACCTGGGCTTTGGTCTCACCTGGGCTTCAACCTTGGAAGGATTGTCCCCTAGCAGAGGGTTGCCGCGGACAGAGAGGGAGGAGAGGCGGGGGAAGGCAGCGAGCGTGGCGAGGGAGAGGAGCTTGAGGGAGGGGATTCGGTTGGAGGAGAGATCGAGGATGCGGAGGCGTGTGAGGGAGGAGAGGGCGGGGGAGAGGACCTGTTGGGATAGGGCGAATGGAGGAAGGAAGGAAAAAGGCACAGGAGAGGGAGAGGAGCTTGAGTGGGGTAATCCGGTAGGAAGAGAGATCAAGGGTGCGGACGCGGGTGAGGGAGGAAGGAGCAGGAGAGAGGGCCTGGGGGAATAGGATGGGATGAGAAAGGGGACGGAAGAAAGAAAAAAAAGGAATATCTAAAACTGCTTTGATAGGATTTCATGAGGGAAAAGGATCTTGAGCGATGCAATTCAGTTGGAGGAGAGATGGGGAATGCGAAGGCAGGTGAGGTGAGGGAGGAGAGGGCGGGGGAGAGGACCTGGAGGGATGGAACGAATGGGGGAGGGAAGAAATGAAGATGGGGGTTGGTTGGAAGGAAGGCAGAAAGCACTGCTGTTACTGGCTTCTTTCGAAATGTACTAAATTGTATTTCATCCAGGCGGGAGGGGAGAGGGCCTGGAGGGTGGGACCGGATGAAGGGAAGTTGGAGGGGAACATATCATCCGGTCCCACCCTCCAGGCCAGGTGGGGAAGGGGAGCATATCCAACCCACCTGTCCTCTCTTGACAGCTCCTGTTCTCATATGTTTTCACATATAACGAGGTGACTTTCCACATATGTTTTCAGCAGGGTTCTCATATAACGAGGTGACTGAATTTTGAGTTTGACTTTTGAGTCGACTCAAAAGTCACCTCATATGTTTTCACATATGAGAGAACAAAGAAACACTATAATATAAGATAAGTTACAAACTCATGAATACACACCGAGATGTGGTTGTGGGCCAGACGCAGCTCCTCCAGTGACATGCATCCGCTGAGGTCGTTGGTGAGCGACGTGAGAAACACATGCATGCAGGCACACACAACTGTTCATTCGCATCACACGTACCAAAATGTGGTTGTGGGCCAGACGCAGCTCCTCCAGCGACATGCACCCGCTGAGATCGTTGGTAAACCGCAATTTCAAGGCGCACCTTCACTCTGCAGGGCGCAAAAGTTAACTGCATACGGGCACAGCTGTTCATTCGCATCACACGCACCGAGATGTGGTTGTGTGCCAGACGCAGCTCCTCCAGTGACATGCATCCGCTGAGATCGTTGGTGAGAGATGTGAGACCGTTGCTGGACAGGGAGAGCTGCAGGGGTGGATGGAGGAGGGGGGGCAGATTTGGTACGATCAGATATGGCACGCATGCATGGATGAAGAGGTGTGAGGGAAGAATGGGAGGGGGAAGGGACGGCAGGGGAGGGGAGGGAGGGGAGGAGAGGGGGGAGTGGAGGGAAGTGGAGGGGAAGGAAGGGGAGGGGAGGAAGGGAAGGTGATCGGAGGCGATAGATGGATCGAGCTTAAAATACACCTCTAGAGTTGACTCTGCTGCAGTGAGGTGACGCCAGGCCTTCAGGAGAGTCGCAGTAGAGTAGCTCATGGATGTTCTTTCACCACCACCTCACGTTGACACGTGTATGAAGATTTATTTTGAGATGTCTCAAAACGGATCGGAGGCGATTGATGAATCGAGCTTAAATTAAAATACACCTCTAGAGTTGACTCAAAACACACGAAGTATTGGAAAGAGCGAGTTCAAGAGACAGACAATCAGAAAACATGAAGAGTACAAGACAGGGTTCTTGTGCGTGAGGGGTTGAGCGGGTAGTGATTGATGGCACAGGGTACCCCAACTGATCGCCCCAGTAAAGAAAGGGTACATTGTGTGATGTGATCACCCCAGTAAAAGAAGGGCTTGTACCTGAATTGCCCTCGTACCTTCTTGAGGGCAGAGAGGCCACGCAAGGAGTTGCCGAGAGCAGGCAGCTCATTGTGGGAAAGCACTGCATGTGAGAGGTTGAAAGGGGTTGAAAGGGTTGAGAATGAGTGCACGGGGTTAGAAGTGCAGGGGGCTCGTCAGAAAAGAGGTAGTGGCGGGAGTTGAAGAGGGGGAGTAGTAGGGGCGGGGGGGGGGGGAGGAGGAGGAGGAGGAGGAGGAGGAGGAGGAGGAGGAGGAGGAGGAGGAGGAGGAGGAGGAGGAGGAGGGAGGAGGAGGAGGAGGAGTAGGAGGACAGCAATAACGATGCTGATATAAGATACACATACGCATGATAACAAGTATGACTCAAAGGAACAAGTATGATAACAAAATATGACTTTTGGGTCGACTCAAAGGTCACCTCAAAATACACATGGAGCATACGCATGAGAACAAGAGATAAACAAACAGGATACACGTACTGAATTACAACGAGCAACGTGATGCACTGGAAGAAAGTACTACGAGGTGTACCGTCTGTTCAAACCCCTCCTTTAAGTGGGTAAAACGTTGGGTTGTGGAACTCACCCAGCGTGTTGAGGGCAGTGAGAGGAGCTAGATTGCAGAGCGAGCCTAGCAGGTTGTCTGGTGGAAGAGAGGGGGGAGGCGAGGCAGGCGGAAGGGCGGGAGAGGGGGAGGGAAGAACAATGGGGACAGAGAGAGAACAAGAGGAGATAGATTGCGCAGGGAGACGCGCAGGTTATCTGGAGAGTGGGGAGGAGAAGGGAGGAAGGGGGGGGAGAGGGGGGAGGATGGGGGAGAGAGGGGGGAGGAGGGGTGAGAGAGGGGGGAGGAAGGGGGGAGAGAGGAGAGGAGGAGAGGAGAGGGTGGGGGAGGGATGGGAGAGTGGGGAGGAGGTGCGGAAGTGGGGAGAGGAGGGAAGGGATGAGTTGGGGCAAGAAGGGGAAGGGAAAGTGTGGGGGTGGAGGAGGAACGGGAGGATGGTGGGGCAACAAGTCCTCCCGTTCCTCCCAGGAGAAACAACAACAGAACTCATTGAGTGCAACAAGTCTTTTGGGAGAATGAGCATTCACACCATTCACTGCGTTCCAGCAAGGTTGGCGCGCAAGAGCGAAATCTGAGTCAGCAAGAGAGTGTGCTTGCTCACTGTTGAGAATGAGCGCCTGCAGCTTCGCCAGGCGGGTGACAGGAGAGACGTCTGCCACCATGTTGTGGCTTGCTTTTAGGACCTGCAAGCGGGAGGGGAGAGTGGGAGGGGGGAAGAGAGACGTAAGGCACCATGTTGTGACTGGCCCTGCTGAGGACCTGCTGAAGAGGGAACGAGTTGACAGAAGTTAATAGACGAACGGGCACGGGTAAGAAGAACACTGCAGTAACTCGGGATGGTAACTCGGGAAGAACGACGAATGACGAACGACGAGCTCATGAATTGACTTTTGAGTCGACTCATGAATTTGAGTTGGTAGATTGGGATTAATTCATTGACCGGACTATCTTTAGAATTCGATTAAAAAAACGTTATGTCAATTATTGGATGGATGCGGAACTGACGGCAACACCTACCAGGAGGGCTGTGAGGGACGTGAGCGGCTGAAGCGAGGAGACGCTGTTGCTAGCGATGTCCAGCCAGCGCAGAGACACGCAGGACGCGAGACCCTGAGGGATGAGGGCAGGGGTTGGGGAGAGAGGGGGGAGAGGGGGGAGAGGGGGGAGAGAGGGGAGAGAGGGGGGAGAGGGGGGAGAGAGGGGAGAGAGGGGGGAGAGGGGGGAGAGGGGGGAGAGGGGAGAGAGGGGAGGGAGGGGGTAGAGGGGAGAGAGGGGGGAGAGGGGGGAGAGGGTTGAGAGGGGGGAGAGGGAGGAGAGGGGGGTGGGTGTGTGGTTGAAACATCTCCTAACTCGATGCTGCTGGCGGTGTCCAAACAGTGCCGAGCCAGGAGATAATCTATACTTCAACTAGTGCAGAGCCAGGAGATAATCTATAGTTCAACTAGTGCAGAGCCAGGAGATAATCTATAGTTCAACTAGTGCAGAGCCAGGAGATAATCTATAGTTCAACTAGTGCAAAGAGATGCAGGATGAGAGGCCCTGAGGGGCGAGTGCAGAGAGATGCAGGAGCAGGAAATAATCTATACTTCAACTAGTGCAGAGAGATGCAGGAGCAGGAAATAATCTATAGTTCAACTAGTGCAGAGAGATGCAGGAGCAGGAAATAATCTATAGTTCAATTAGTGCAGAGAGATGCAGGAGCAGGAAATAATCTATAGTTCAACTAGTGCAGAGAGATGCAGGAGCAGGAAATAATCTATAGTTCAACTAGTGCAGAGAGATGCAGGAGCAGGAAATAATCTATACTTCAACTAGTGCAGAGAGATGCAGGATGAGAGGCTCTGAGGGGCGAGTGCAAGCTGGGGGTTTAAATTCCGGGGTTTTGGGTGAAGCGGGTTTACTGTTGGGTTCGGGGTTAGGGTTGGGCAAGCAAACATCGCTAATTGAGAAGGATGTCTTTCAAAATATCGAATAGATTGCAGCCACCTCCAGCAAAGTCAAGTTGTTTCCGCTCTAGTCTAGGCGAGTCAACTAGGAACAGCCCACACCACCCCTCCCTTTCCCCCTCCCCCACTTCCCCCCTTCCTCCCCTTCCCTCCCCCCCCTACCCCACTTCCTTCCCTCCTCCCCTTCCCTCCCCCCTCCATCACCGGCTCACCTCAAGCGAAGTCAAGTTGTTTCCGCTCAAGTCAAGGCGAGTCAACTGAGAGCAGGCCGCGAGGCTGTCCACCTGGCAGTGGGGATCGATTGAGGACGGCAGGGCGGAGGGAAATTCGGGGAAATTGTGGAGGGGAGGCAGCGTCGAGAGGAGAGAAATGGGAAAAGACACAGATGGAGTTGCGAACTAGAAAGGGAAATGACAGCTAAAGCGCTTCTGTTACGATGATACGGCACCTTTCACTTTCACATGATCCAAGAGGGGTGTGAAGAAGGTATAAGATGGGTTTGACAGGGTTCAAGGGTTTGACAGGGTTCAGGGGTTGACAGGGTTCAAGGGTTTAACAGGGTTCAGGGGTTTAACAGGGTTCAGGGGTTTTCGATCTCATGATACAGGGTCGCCTTACGCGTGCCTTTCGTTTTCCTTCCCTTGCGGTTTTTGCTTGAAGAATTTTAAGTCGATTAGAATGTCACCTCGATTGCCTCGCATTGCGCTTGCCTTGCGCCCATCCTGTCCCCTCGTTGTAAGGACAGTGCGCCTCCTGTTTATCTCACCCTTGAAAACCCTCGCGACGGAAGCGTGAGCTCGCGCCACGTGGCAGGGTCGTCCGCATCCACGTCAGCTGCTCGCCGCAACACGTGCGGGGCCCTTTCAGCGTCAGCAACAGCCACGTTGGCCGCTTCGCGGACGTGCTTCTTTGCCACGTCGACCGTCAACGTGGCCTCCGCAAAAATCCCAGCTAACGCGCTGGTGGTCATAATTGGCTATCGTCGTGCGACGCTGGCAACTCGCAACCCGATTGGTCGACACGACGTCACGATCGAGCTTCTAGGGAACAATACCCACTTAATCCCGCGACGCTATAGCTGCTCTAAACGAAAAACTACCGAACAAAACTGAGCCTCAACGAGTTTTACGTGAAGTGCCAGTGAACAATGGGGAAGGAGGGAGGGGAGAGGGAAGTAATGTGTATGAGGCTGGGCTGTGTCGCCAGAGCGAATGGCGTGGCGGGCAAAACGACGAAGTGAGAAGAAGCTTCTAGAGAGAACGCCCGTTGCGATGCGAGGCTCTCCTTTCAAAACTCGCTATGATCAATCACAGCAGCAAACAGTTTCTGATAGAACGGAAAGTACTGGTTATGTCAACATTTACAATACAGTACAACCACCCATGTATTTGGTCTCGGTCATATAAATTATGTGCCTCATCCTCCAAAGTTCTGGGAGCTTCCCATGGCAAATGGCTGCCATTTATCCGAGAGCACCCAGAGGCCATGACTCTTTAGAAGGCTCTTCTTTTCAAGCCTGTTCTCGATTGCACTGCTGTGTAGCACCACTGGTCTTATCGACTTGGCTTCCAAATCCGAACGAAATGCGGGATCGCTGCGACACCACAGGATTGGTTGAAGAGCAAGAGATGGAGAAAATGGAAAGGGTTGACAGGAGGAGGCGGGATGAGTGAAGGAACAGGCTAGCTTATTGAGAGGTTAAAGTTGCAAAGCAAATGGGAAGAGCGCCAACAGCACAAGGAACCACCACAGGAACCACTGCCACACCTCCCAGCCACATCCCTCACCACATTTTCTCGCACCTCCTCAACCCAAACATACCAGACAGCAAGCACTCTCTGAAGGACCTGCAGTACTGAGATGTTTCAAATACTCTCCGACTCAACTAAAGTTAAGAAGACCTTTGAGACGTCTCAAAAGTCACCTGCAGTTTAAAGCCATTTCAGCGCTGCTCCGACGGGATCAGCAGCTGCGGCAGCGGTTTTTTAGCATTGAAAAACAGGCCTGGCAGCATGCCCTCTCTGACCGCCCCACCTGAAATACAGCGCCGTCGACGGGAACAGCAGCTGCGGCAGCAGCGCGACCCTAGCAGCGCTCCCGACCCCTCGAACCGCGCGATTGAACGCGCCCTCGCTCTGGTTCATCGGCACACCCAACTTTCTCGTCTTCATGACGATAAACTTAAGCTCTGCCTGCCATGCCTGCACCGCAGCCCTGGCGCCTGGGGACGCGCGGAAGTAGAGCAGAGCGGTGGAGAGCGGTTGGTTGGGTGGGAGAGGTGTGGGGCGGAGGAGATGGTGGTTGGTGGTGGGGGCGGCGGCGTCGTCGGTGGGCTGCTGAGGCGCATCAAAGGTGGGGGCGGAAGAGGCGGCCCAGAGGTCGAAATCACCGTTGAAGTACCCAAAGGGCAGCTGCAGCCACACCATGTCCGGATCCTGATGATGTGCGCAGGAAGGGGATGGGGAGAGGGGTGCGGGGTTTAAGCGTTGGTGTCAAAGGTGGGGGCGGAAGAGGCGGCCCAGAGGTCATAGTCGTCATTGAAGTACCCAAAGGGCAGCTGCAGCCGCACCATGTCTGGGTCCTGATGTATGGGGAGGAGGGAGAGGGGGGGAGAAGTGGGGGGAGGGAGGGCGGCGGAAGAGGCGGCCCAGAGGTCGAAGTCGCCGTTGAAGTACCCAAAGAGCAGCTGCAGCCACACCATGTCTGGGTCCTGATGTGTTTGGGGGGAGGAGGGGGGAGGGAGGTGGTAAGTGGTCAAGCAGATGACAGGGCAGGGCAGGGCAGGGCAGGGCAGGGCTTACATTGAGAGGAAGGAGACATTGTTGGATTTTTTTAGACGTCTCAAAAGTGATGTTTTGAGACGTCTCAAGGAGACGGAAATGAGTTTTGAGACGTCTCAAAAGTGGGCAGGGCTCATCACATTGTACAGCAGGGCGGGGCAGGGCGAGGCGGGGCTTACATTGTAGAGGAAGGAGACATTGTGTTGGAGAAGGCGAAGGAAGTGCCATGGGCGCCGGTCCTCAATGCCTGCTGTCTGCAGCACCGAGGCACGGGCAGAGAATAATCAATTTAATATTTTTATAACATCTGGGTTTATAAGCATTTATTTCTCTTATTATCGCACTGACTTGATTGACATGTGTCGCTCTGGAAAGTGCATCGACCCTTTTTAAGGCGACTCAAAGATCGGGCAGAGAGACATGCAAAGTGAACTGACATGACATGATTGACATGTGTCGCTCTGGAAAGTGCATCGACCCTAAAACCATGGCCAACATTATGGTTTTAGGGAGCCATGGCCCAAGTTTTGAGTCGACTCAAAACTAAAACCATAATATTGGGGAGCCATGGCCCAATCAACTGGCTGCTTTCATTATTCTCGAAAACGTGTGGCGCTCGTATCGAGAGTAATGATTAATAAGAAGTTGAGACATCTCAGACTCTCAAAGTGCGTTCTCATCACGATTCACACCCACCTGGTCGCCCTTGGGCGTGAGAACAAGAGCGTTTTGAGGCGTCTCAAAACACTTCTTCATACACTTGGGCGTGAGAATGAGAGCGGCCTGCATGAGGAACCGGCAGTGCAGCAGACGGAAGGAGTGGTAGTCCTTGCAGCTGTACGTGTGTGCTTCATGTGTGAGCTATGTGTGTGTGGGCCGCACAACTACTCAACCCACCTGGTCGCCCTTGGGTGTCACGATGAGAGCGGTCTGCATGGGGAACTGGCGGTTGAGCAGGCGGAAGGAGTGGTAATCCTCAGCAATGAACAGCACCCGCCGCCCCATGCGCTTTCCCCGAACCGACAGGTACCTGCCGGGTGCAAAGGGGAGGTGAGGGGGATGGGAGGGTCGGGAAGGGGGAGAGGGGACGTTTCCTCAATCCCGCTGCTGTGAACAGCACCCGCCCCCCATGCGCTTGCCCTGCATTGACAGGTACCTGCCAGGTGCAAAAGGGAGGTGGGCGGGGTGGGGGGGGGTTGGGGAAAGGGGAAAGGAGACGTTTTCTCAACCCCTCTATTGTGATGTGAACAGCAACCGCCCCCCATGCGCTTGCCCTGCACTGACAGGTACCTGGCACGTGCCAGAGCCGGGAGAAGGGGGTTGGGGGGGAAAGGGAGGCGAGGGGGGGTATCCTTCTCTACCTTCCTTCCGCTATGAACAGCACCGACCCACCCCCCATGCGCTTGCCTCACACTGACAGGTACCTGCCATACCAGGTACAACTGGGGGAAGGGGAAAGAAGAGGAGGAAGATGCATAACGACAAGCATGGGGCGAAGGTAAGCAGCAGGAGTAGAGCTGGTGAGAGTGCAGAGCTGTGGCAACACTACCAACCTCCATCCATCCACCCTTCCTTCTCCCCCCCCTGGCTCTCTCTTTCTTATCCTCCCCTTTCCCCTCTCTTCTGCTGTCCACTCTCTCATTCCATACGCCCCTCGCTTCCACAACCCCCTCCCCAGCGCACCAGTTGTGACAGCACGAGCCGTGACAGCCAGCCTACCCTTCCTTTCCCCTTCCCGCTTTCACTATCCACTTTCCATTGATCCCCAGCGCACCAGTTGTGAACGAACTCCAGGTAGACAGCACAAGCCGTGACAGCAATTACCTGCTTCTGCTCCCTCTGATTCTCTCTTTACACCTCAACCAACCTCCCTCTCCCCCTCCCTCTCCCTCCATCCACTCTCTCACTCAGTTTCCTCCCCAGCGCACCAGTTGTGAACGAACTCCAGGTTGACAGCACGAGCCGTGACCACCACAATGGGACGGTCCCTGCCGCCCGTCACGTTCGCAATCACGGCGTCCAGTGGCGGCACGTAGCGCCGCCCTCCCGGCCTCCTGCCGCCCTCTTCCCCTCCCGTTTCTCCTCCTCCTCCTGTTTCTCCCCCTCCTGCTCCTGTTTCTCCCCTTCCCATTCCTGCTCCTCCCATTCCTGCTCCACCAGTGTTACCACCACCAACACCGCCAGAGCCACCAAACGTGCTGCTTTGGCCACTTTCGCTTCTACCACCACCCACACCTACAGCAGTGCCACCGGCACTACTGACACCGCCACCACTGCTATCACCGGAACCTTCATTGCTTCTTGCACTTCCTCCCTTGCCTTGTGCGCCCTCCTCTTCCTCCTCTTCCTCCTCCTCCCCTTCCTTCCCCTCCCCCTCCTTCTGTTCCTCCCCCTCACCCTCCTCCTTTTCCTCCTCCCCTTCCCCATCCCCCAGCACCCCCTCCTCGTCCTGCTCCTCTTCTTCTCCCTTTCCCTTATCCCCCACCTCGCCTGCTTCCTCTTCTCCCCTCCCCTCCCGTTCCTCCCCCCCTTTGCCTCGCTGCTCCTCCTCCTCCTCCCTCTTCTCCTCTTCCACCTCCTCCTTCTCTTCCTCCTCCACCTTCCTCTCCAACTCCTCCTCCATCCTCTCCTCTTCCTCCTGCCGCCTCTCATCCTCATCGTCCTCCTGACTTAAACCCCCCCTTTCCTCCTGCAACCGTCTCCTCCTCCCCATTACAGCCACCTCTGGTGAGTCTAGACTCTGTTGTGTCACAAACGCCATAGGTGCTGCTAGCGTGGCTGGCCCCTCCGGTGACTCTTGGCTCGACTGAAAGGCCACAGCTGCTGCCAGATTTGGGGGGGGAAAAAGGGGCGGGGAAACGGACGTTGAAACGGGCAGAGACAGGGGACGGAGAGAGGGACGGAAACAAGGAGAGAAAAAGACGGATACCCTTTCAGCATGACGAAGTGACATTTGAGTCGACTCAAAAGTCACCTTGATACCTTTCAGCATGACGAAGTGACATTTGAGTCGACTCAAAAGTCACCTCGATACACTTTCAGCATGACCAGTGCTGAGCTGAGTACCTTTCAGTACGCCAGCTCATGGGAGAAACGAAAAGCATACATAAAGCAAACGAAAAAGCAAACCGCCACCAACACTAACACGAGACGATCAAATCGCAATGCTCAAACGCGAAGCGCATGCGCCATCGACTAGGCTCGACGACATTCCCAAGATAAGAATCGAAACATCGGAGCAGTTTTTTTTGTGCGCCGAAACTCGCGAGCGTCGCGGCGTTGAAGCATCGGCGGGCTGCATTATCGGCGCGCTGCATTACCGGCGCGCTGCTTTATCGGCGCGCTGGGCGGGAATCCGGTGACACGGAAACGGTGAAACAATGAAATCGCGGAAATGAGATAGATGAGGCGCAAGGACGCTTCGGATAATGTCGAAAGTGCAGCGTACCAGCTCTGCTATCGGCTACAAACGAGGATGCCAAAAAGGTGGATGCGATGAGTAAAAGGCGCAGCACTGAGCACGGCCATTTGCGTCGACTCAAACGTTCTGAGCATTTTTCCGATCGCTCACGAACTCGCGCTGAAGCCGCCATGCTTGGCAATTCGACTCGTGTCACGGGGTAAACACAAGCATTCTCTCTCAGAACAAGCAGGACAATAGCAGTGCTCTCAGAATTTGCCGGCCGCAAACTGTAAAGTAGTCACAAGAGTCAGGCTGAAAGACTGAAGGCAGACTGAATGACTCAAGTCAGGCTGAAGGAGCAAAGTGCATGTCTGGTCTGAGTGTGACGAACAATGAAGAAATGGAGGATGGACGGACGGATTTGTTGTGTGCATGCGTTGGTGGTGCTGGGTGATTCGGTAGGTGGCGTAGCGGGGCATGTTGGGTGGGGTGGGTGTGTGGCTTCGAATGGTTGGTTCGTTGGTTGGGGGAGTGGATTTTGCAACCTCGATAAGCACGAAACTCGTTACCTGTAACGATAAACATTTCCCCCATTCTATCTGGAACTATAGTTGTGAATGAGAAAGACAGCGACTAAATTGTAAACACATCGGCACGATGAATGCATCACTACACAATACCACGAGTGAAAAAAACTTAGGAATTTAGTTGCAGGCACCGCAAAATCTGGCCCTAATGAGGACTTGGGGACTTCAAGCGGGGGGGTTCTTATTCGCCGGGAAACAGCTGTGTGCCATTTTTTGTCATTCAGTATCCCACCACCACCGTTAGCTGTGGCTCCAGTACAGCCACGACCACCCTGTGGGCATCTAATCCCCGATTGGGTTCCGCTTTGTGCATAGACATCGACAACAAAGTGCTCATGCTTCTCAAGGGATATTCTAATTGTGGTGCCCCTTAGCTGGCCACATGTGGTGGTGCCCCTTTGCTGTCCAGTCCACATATGTTGGGCTGGGAAATAGCCCTTAGGATCTTTGCAGGACTAAACTCTGAGTAGGAACAATGTAATAGCGGAAGCGTTTAATGACAAGTCTTGTGAACCACCTTGCGCTAGTATGTGAGGGCAAAGTAGATTGATTAAAGCAAAGAGATACAGGCTTTTATAAGAGTACAAGGGAATATGAAAGGTTATAGCTAACAACCGTTTTGCTGCTGCTGTTGCGGTTCAATACAGTGACGACTCGGGCAACTGCTCAATAACGAGTCAGTTGTTTGTCCTTGCTGTCGCGCTGTATTTGTCATGTCAAAGGTCGCTGACCTTTGATTTTCGCGTAACCTCCAGCGGTTTCTTCATCTCTCAACCTCCGAGGGTTGACTCGCCGGTGCTTCGCTGTGTTTCGCTTCGTTTGCGACTTAGTGCTTCGACACGACAGAGGCGCTTAAATTACTTGTTTCCAACACTCCCCTTCGCTTCTGGAGTGTCGCTGCTGGTGACGTGGCTCTGTCCAGTCAGCAGCATGCAGTACTCGAACTTCTGCTTTCCGAGTTTCTGGGTCAAGTAATCAGCTGCCATCTCGGACGTGGGGCAGTAAGACAGCTCGAGTCTCCCCTTCTCGATCTCATCCTTCACGAAGAAATATCGCAGTGCGATGTGCTTCGTCCTGTTCGCGAATCCATTTTTGTTGGCTATGCGAATTGCTGACTGGTTGTCGCAGAACAAGGAGAAGCTGGGTAACTGAGCCAGCTTCGCTTCCTCCAGGAGTTCGCGGAGGTACAGTCCTTCCTTGGTGGCTGAGCAGAGTGCGATATATTCTGCTTCAGCTGAGGAGAGGGCGATTAACTCCTGCTTGCTCGACTGCCACGAGATGGGTCCGATAGGTTCGAAGCGATAGATGTAGCCGGTGCACAAGCGTCTGTTGTGGGAGTCGCCGGCGTGATCGGCGTCGACGTAGCCGATTAATTTAGGTGTCGAGGTTCCGTTCTTGTCGACTTGACTCGCATAGTACAATAGATCCGGACGGCAGGTGACGGATGCGAAAAGGAGGCATCCCAGCTTTCTCTAGTAGTCGCGTATGCCGGCAGGCTTGAGCAGAGCGGAGCCTTCCTTGTGATTTCCTGCGGTGTAGTGGTACGGCGTGGAGATGGTGATCGGAGTGAGTCCGAAGCGTTTAGCGATTGTGTCGGTATATTTCGCGGCGTTGAGGTAGATCGCATCTTGTTCCTCTTGAATATTGAGGCCGAGATACTGCGAGACGGTGGACGAGACCGTGAGCGTGAGGTCTTGCTGCAGCTCCCCTTCGAACCAGGTAGTGACGTTGTCGGTCGAGCCGATGTAGAGCAGGTCGTCTACGTAGACGATGAGTAGAATGTAGTCGTTGCCCTTTGTGAGTCGGTACATGCCCTGGTCGTGCGGTAGCTGGCAGAATCCGATGCGAATAAGTCTAGCGTGCAGGTACTGCTGCCACAGTCTCGGTGCTTGTTTGATGCCGTACAGGGACTTCAGCAGCTGACAGAATTGGTTAGGTTCTCCGTTTGAGCCGTGCGGTAGTTCGACGAAAATCTCTGCGTCAACGGGTGCGTAGAGGAAGGCGTTGGCGACGTCAATTTGTCGTAGATTCCTTTTCTTCATGGCGGCGATTGCGAGGAGAATTCGCAGTGAAGTGTGTCGGCTGACCGGCGCGAACGTTTCAGTGAAGTCGCGTCCGTGTTCTTGGTCGAAGCCACGTACGACCCAGCACGCTTTGAACTTATCAATGGTGCCATCTGCCTTTGTCTTCTCACGGAAGACCCATTTCCCGATGAGTAATCTCTTGTTTTGTGCCACGTTGATGGGAACAACTTTCCAAGTGTTGCGTTGCTCCAGTGCTTTCAACTCCCTGTCCGTGGCTTCGTGCCATTTCTCCCTATGCTCCCCCCCCAGTGCCTGCTGAACCCTGGCAGGCTCCTTAGGAAGTGCTGCGCCGTGGACCGCGGTGACGAGGCCGAGTATCTGGAGTCCACTTTGTGTGTAGCGCGGAAGTGTTGTATCCTCGGGATAGACTGCTTCGACTCCTTCGTCAGTGTTGACCTGCGCAGGTGTAACGTAACCATTGCCGGCGAAGTGATAATAGACTTCGGCGTTCATGCTGTCGCGCGGATTTTCGTCGTCCATCGGAACATCGACTGAACAGTAGGGAAGAGGACCGGCTTCCTCCGAGGCTCCTTCCACGTTCTGCTCGTCCCAATCTGCTTCATCTTCTGCCGAAGCGAAGGCTCGGGTGCCAAGGAATCCGCCCGAGAGGTCTGGGTTGTTTTCTTCCACGTTGGCAAGGTACGTCCGCAGGGTGAGTTTTACGTGTTGCTACTGTTTCCTTGGTGTCGATGTCGAAAATCTTCCATGCGTTGTAATGTTTTTTCGATGCCCAGGTGTAGTCCCCACTGTGCGCGTTGGGAGAATTGACCTGCTCGTGCAGATGGGGGTCGGTACTGTACCATGCACCCGAAAACTCTTAACATTTTTGTGCTGCCCAGATTTCCTGTCCACAGCAGATGCGGTGATGCGTTGTTCGGGAGCGATGATGACGAGAGCAAGTTGTGCAGCATCACAGCGTGGTCCATTGCTTCAGGCCACTGGTGGTTGGGTAAGTGCCTGCCACGTAGCAGCTTGCGCATGGTGTTTTGGAGGGTCCTGTACATTCTTTCTGCTACGCCTTGCTGTTGATGGGCGTAGGGAAGGGAGATGAGCTGCTTGATTCCCCTCTCTGCCAGGTACTGCTTGAACCTCTGTGAGGTGTATTCTCCTCCTCCGTCTGACTGGAAGCTCTTTAACTTCACGCCTGATTCTCGTTCTGCTACTGGGAGCCAGGCGACAAAAGCCTCGAAAGCCATGTCTTTGCTCGGAAGATTGAGGTGCCAAACGTAGCGTGTGGCGGCATCGATGAATGTGATGACGTAATTGTATGCTCCTTGTCCAGGTTCGCGGTTGTACAAGATGTCGCTGTACACTTTCTCAAGTGGTGTGTAAGCTGGTGCGCTCGGGTTGTGGTGAAAAACGAACGGCTGATGCGGTAAGTCGGCTTCTGGACAGGTGAAGCATGTCCCGCGGACTCGCTGGAGTTCTCTGCCGTCAGTTAAAAGTAAGGAATCTTTGTTGAGCACGCCTGCTCTTATTGTGTTATTTAACACCGTGTTGCTTGGATGTCCCATTCTTGCGTGCCAGGTTCCTTCGGTGGCGCGATGTCCGGGAGAGCGTCGATACACGTCGGAGTTGGAGTAAAAGCTGGCGGTGAAGTTGGCGCTTCGATGAACTTCTCGTTGAGTCGGGTTCAGCTGCTGCGCGGTAGTCGGTGGTGTGTCGTTGATGAAGATCGGTGCCGTTGAAGGACCAGTGATTGATGTTGTCGCTACTGTTACCGTTGTCTCTGCTGTTGCCGATGTTGTTTCTGCTGCTGCCGATGTTGTCTCTGCTGCTGCCGAATGTTGGATTGTCGCTAATGCTCTTGTTCGTTCTGCCTCAGGGATGGTGTGCAAGTACCAGAATCCTTCGGGGCTGAAGTCAGGATCGAGATCCGGCGGGTGTGTCCAGGAGGTGAAGGTGACAATTCCGTCAC